TGACTGCGAGCCGCAGCCCTGCCTCAACAATGGCATCTGTCGCGATCGTGTCGGTGGCTTCGAGTGCGGCTGTGCTCCTGGATGGAGCGGCATGCGCTGTGAGCAGCAGGTGACCACCTGCAATGTTCAGGCGCCCTGTCAGAACGATGCCAACTGCATTGATCTGTTCCAAGACTATTTCTGCGTGTGCCCCAGCGGTACCGATGGCAAGAACTGTGAAACTGCACCCGAGCGCTGCATTGGAAATCCCTGCATGCATGGCGGCAAGTGCCAGGACTTTGGCTCGGGCCTCAACTGCAGCTGTCCAGCTGATTATGCCGGCATCGGTTGCCAGTATGAGTACGATGCCTGCGAGGAGCATGTCTGTCAGAATGGTGCCACCTGCCTGGACAATGGTGCCGGCTACAGCTGCCAGTGCCCGCCCGGATTCACGGGCAAGAACTGCGAACAGGACATTGTGGATTGCAAGGATAACTCTTGTCCACCTGGCGCCAGCTGCGTGGATCTGACCAATGGTTTCTATTGCCAGTGCCCCTTCAATATGACAGGCGATGATTGTCGCAAGCCCATTCAGGTGGATTATGATCTGTACTTCAGCGATCCGTCACGTTCAACGGCCGCACAGGTGGTGCCCTTCCCGACGAGTGAGGCAAACAGCCTGACCGTGGCCATGTGGGTGCAGTTCGCCCAGAAAGATGACACCGGCATCTTCTTCACACTGTACGGCGTGGATTCTGCCCGCATGACACAACATCGCCGTCTGCTGCTCCAGGCTCATTCCAGCGGCGTTCAAGTCTCGCTCTTTGAGGATCTGCCCGATGTTTTCCTCAGCTTTGGCGAATATACGTCCGTCAACGATGGACAGTGGCATCATGTAGCTGTCGTCTGGGATGGCATCAGCGGTCAGCTTCAGCTGATTACCGAAGGCTTGATAGCTAGCAAGTTGGAGTATGGCGGTGGTGGCGCTCTACCCGGCTATCTCTGGTCGGTGCTGGGTCGTCCGCAACCGGATAGCGTCAAGCATGACCTTGGCTATACTGAGGCTGGCTTCCAGGGCACCGTTACCAAGGCACAGGTCTGGGCACGTGCTCTAGATATTACCTCGGAAATACAAAAGCAGGTGCGCGATTGTCGCTCCGAACCAGTGCTTTACCCAGGTCTTATCCTGAACTGGGGTGGCTATGAGATAACCACGGGCGGTGTGGAGCGCAATGTGCCCTCATTGTGTGGTCAACGCAAGTGCCAAGTGGGTTACACGGGCGCCAACTGTCAACAGTTGGTTGTGGACAAGGAACCGCCAGTTGTGGAGCATTGTCCCGGAGATTTGTGGGTCATTGCCAAGAATGGCTCGGCCGTGGTTACCTGGGACGAGCCACACTTTAGCGATAACATTGGTGTCACAAAGATTTACGAACGCAACGGACATCGCTCGGGCACAACGCTGCTCTGGGGCACCTACGACATCACCTACATCGCATCCGACGCCGCTGGCAACACGGCATCATGCAGCTTCAAGGTCTCGCTATTAAGTATGTAATTTCTAGGATATTCTTGGAATCACTTCTAACCTTCTCATCTTCTTTTGCTCCAGCTGAATTCTGTCCACCTTTGGCTGATCCCGTAGGCGGCTCTCAAGTTTGCAAGGACTGGGGCGCAGGCGGTCAGTTCAAGGTCTGTGAGATTGCTTGTAATACCGGGCTACGCTTCTCCGAGCAGGTGCCCGAGTTTTACACTTGCGGCGCTGAAGGTTTCTGGCGTCCCACGCGCGAACCCTCAATGCCACTGGTCTACCCATCCTGTTCACCGGCCAAGCCGGCCCAGCGTGTTTTCCGCATCAAAATGCTCTTCCCCTCGGATGTGCTCTGCAACAAGGCCGGCCAGGCTGTGCTGCGACAGAAGGTGACCAACTCTGTGAACGCTTTGAACAGGGACTGGAATTTCTGCTCCTATTCCATTGAAGGCACCAGGTAAATATGGACTTACTTATTTTTCAATTGGTTTTATTTAACGCCTTGTGTTCGCAGAGAGTGCAAGGATATTCAAATCGATGTCAAGTGCGATCACTATCGCGCCGCCCAAAACAATCGAGTGCGCCGACAGGTCAAGGATGGCGGCGTCTATGTGATGGAAGCGGAACTGCCAGTTGTCAAGTAAGTAGTGCAAGGTGTTAACACTTTAACCTTATGGCACATAGGACTTCGGTCTGGCATGTTTTGTCTTGATGTATATATGTGTACTCTGTGTTATATGTATGTATATGTATGTGTTCGTTAACCCAATTTCTAGCGATGAGGACGATTTGGCGCTGACGGGTCGCCAGGGACGCCAACAAACTGGCGGTGACACATACACGCTGGAAATAGCCTTCCCGGCTGTTAAGTATGTCAAGCATCTCATTCGTTCAATATAACGATCAATTGCACCCGATCTCCAGCATTCTGCACCCAGTACTATCAATTGTCTCAGACTAATCCAAACATCCCACAAGCCAACCACAACCAACCAACCAATCAATCACAATGCAACTCTTTCTAATGCTTTATGCTAACCCCACATGTCACATGTGTTTTGCGTGCTAACCCGACTGTTAATACGTTTGCAATTTTTAAGCTCTAATCAATACAAGTTAACCTCATATTATTCTCATTCATCCTTAGCGATCCTGTGGTGCATACGTCGACGGGCGAGCGCTCCAATGTGAAACAATTACTGGAGAAGCTGATTCTAGAGGATGACCAATTTGCGGTACAAGAGATTCTGCCCAACACCGTGCCCGACCCGGCTTCGCTGGAACTGGGCTCCGAATATGCCTGCCCCGCTGGTCAGGTGGTAATGATACCCGATTGTGTGCCATGCGCCATTGGCACCTTCTACGATAGCGCTAACAAGACGTGCATTCCGTGCGCTCGCGGCACTTACCAATCCGAGGCGGGCCAGCAGCAGTGCAGCAAGTGCCCGACCATAGCGGGACGTCCTGGTGTGACAGCTGGTCCTGGAGCACGCTCCGCCGCTGACTGCAAGGAACGCTGCCCGGCTGGCAAGTATTTCGACGCGGAGACCGGTCTGTGCCGCTCCTGCGGCCACGGCTTCTATCAGCCCAATGAGGGTGCCTTCACCTGCGATCTGTGCGGTCTGGGTCAGACCACACGCTCCACGGAGGCAACCTCACGCAAGGAGTGCCGCGATGAATGCAGCTCTGGCCAGCAGCTGGGTGCCGATGGACGCTGTGAGCCTTGTCCACGTGGCACCTATCGACTACAGGGTGTGCAACCCTCCTGTGCGTCCTGCCCATTGGGTCGTACCACGCCTAAGGTGGGCGCCAGTTCCGTGGAGGAGTGCACACTGCCCGTATGCTCGCCTGGCACCTATCTTAATGCCACACTCAACATGTGCATCGAATGCCGCAAGGGCTTCTATCAATCCGAGTCGCAGCAGACAACCTGCATTCAGTGCCCGCCCAATCACAGCACCAAGATTACTGGCGCCACCTCTAAAAGCGAGTGCACCAATCCTTGCGAGCACATTGCTGAGGGCAAACCTCATTGCGATGTCAACGCCTATTGTATTATGGTGCCTGAGACGTCGGACTTCAAGTGCGAGTGCAAGCCTGGCTTCAATGGCACTGGCATGGCCTGCACAGATGTTTGCGATGGTTTCTGCGAGAATTCTGGCACTTGTGTCAAGGACCTGAAGGGCACGCCATCCTGCCGCTGTGTCGGCTCCTTTACCGGACCACATTGCGCTGAGCGTTCAGAGTTCGCATATATTGCTGGCGGCATTGCTGGTGCTGTTATCTTCATCATAATCATTGTACTGCTCATCTGGATGATTTGTGTACGCTCCACGAAGCGCAGAGATCCAAAGAAGATGCTGACGCCAGCCATTGACCAAACTGGCTCACAGGTGAACTTCTACTATGGCGCACACACGCCATATGCGGAGTCCATTGCGCCCTCGCATCACAGCACATATGCGCATTACTACGACGACGAGGAGGACGGCTGGGAGATGCCTAACTTTTACAACGAAACCTACATGAAAGACGGTAAGCTCCTAGATTGGAAGATAGATAGATAATTTAGTATATTAATGAATGAATGCATGAGTCGATTCTTATCTCATTTACCTGGGATTCTGGCGAAATACTTGTACCTTCTCATTACTGACAAGGCTAATCTCCATGTCTCGCTATTTGCAGGTCTACATGGGGGCAAGATGAGCACATTGGCCCGGTCCAATGCGTCGCTCTATGGAACTAAAGAAGACTTATACGATCGACTGAAACGTCACGCTTACACGGGCAAGAAAGGTGAGTTATCGAAGCAAATATTTTTGATTTAGGCCAACTTAACTGACAAATATATTGGGATATTACAGAAAAGAGTGACAGTGATAGCGAAGTGCAGTAAACCATCAACGAAATATACAAATAACTTAAATGGAATAAACTTAAAAAGCTGCTTTAATGTAAATTGTGGTCATAAATCTATGTAGCACTGCAAAGAGGCAAAGTTCTAACACTGCCCCAAAAAAAAAAATACTCATTGAAAGCGTTATTTAAAGCTTTGCATTGAATCGCAGTAATCGGTTGGCTTCACAGAAACCTTAGAACTTTATTGTAACTTTTTAAATCAGCTGCAATTACGTGGCTTAATGCAAAGCTTAGAATGTGAGGAAAAGCTGCTTTATGAAAATTGAAGTCTTAAGAAAATAATAGCTCCATGTGCTCTTTAAATATGAAAACACTAAAACAGAAATTAAGTCGAACTTATGCATATAATACGAGTAAAATAAAAGAAATACAATTGTTTTAATTTTAAGTATTATTTACCTATACGCAAACAAATTAATACTTTAAATTACCTTGCTTTAAAAGGTATGTAAAATGAAAGCGTTTAATTGCAATATATATTTTCCAAACTTGTTGAAAAATTCGCGAGTGCTGTAAAAAGCAAATCAAATATAGTCGTTATTTTGTAATTTAAATAAAGAACAATTAATTATTATGTATACACATATGACAAGTAATATGTAATTTAATAAAAATCTTTTGTATAAAAGTACAAAACAATTTAATGAAAGCCAAATCATGTATATATTTTACCTACGTATAATTCTGAAAGTATTTCACCCATACGGATCTACGTTGGGGATCGTTGTCAGCCGAATTGTATTTCTCGAAAGCCTCTCTGAACCTAATATTCTTGTACCGATCGGTATGTCTCAGAAAGCGAACCGTATTGTCCAACCGGAGGTAGACATGTGTCTGGGGCGACATATAACGACGAAAAAGCGTCTTTAAATGGTTGGTAGTCCTCGCTGCCATGGCCAGAATCACCAAAGATATCGGCAATGTGAACGATCCAATTAGGAGAGTTTCATGTCGATAATAGTAATCGAGGCTGACAATATCCATTCCCAACAACAACATCTTGACAATTAAGTAAACAAGATGCTCGATCGTATGCCAGAATATTAGCATGCACACCTCCAGGAAAAGGATTGCCACCAAACACTCACAAATATACTTGATGCCCCGTGCCCTCTTACACATGCTCAAGGGAACGATGCGGTAATCATAGATCAGATCCAATATAGCCACACCGACAATTATTGTGGGCAATGTCGGGCCGGGCGTCATTAACGTGGACTGTGGCGAAATATATAAGGCAAAGCGAAAGAAGAGATGCACCAGGCCAGCGACAAGGACGGATTCGAGAGAAGCCATGGCTAAAACGGAGTTATAAAGTGACTATATCTTACAGCTTTATATAGATTGCATGCTTACCTTGAATTAAAAAAACAATCAATTTGGAGTATTATTATTTAAAATGCTTAAAACTTAACTTCGATAAAAACTTATGAAAATAACTGAAATGTTTTCACGTCCAGCTTGCATATTTCAAAAAGTTTAGCCAAGGCCAATGTGATGTTAATTTCATAAAAATAAAGCTATTTAACAGAGTTGTATTTGAGAGAGAGTGAGAGAGTGAGGGACACAGAAATATTCCGTGTGTGCATGTGTACACACTTATGATCAGTAAATGTTAGCGGCATTTTGATGCGAGTTGACGTGTTTTCTTTTGTCTGCTCCGCATTTTCGGTGATTTATATATAAATAACGTGCACGTAATACTACATTATTGCAAATATCGTAATTATTCTGTTTGCGTTTTGGGAAAGTGTTTTTCTCGCGAGTTTTGTGAATTAAGTTTATAAAGTTTTGTGCTTTGCTTGCGATTCAATTGCATGGAGTAGGAGTTGGTAAGGCACCGTTATTTTTTTTTGCCTATCTCTTGCACTTTCGTGTGCAACTGTAAACTACAAATGTATTACACTCACTTGCTCTCCTGTTTAAATCTAGCATGCCCTCTTATTCGCTCTCTTTATTCAGCCGTTTGGTAGTGTTTTTGCTTTAGCACTTTTTTTTTACTTAAGTATATATGTACATACATACGTTTTGTTTTGTTGCTCGCGCGTTACAGCGTTTCAAGACCTACATCTACTTTGGGCCGATCAAAACTAATTTAAATTGCTTTAAATTAATATTAAATATTCAAGAAGTCATTTTAAATACTGTGCACTTAATTTAATTATTGTGGTCAGTTTCGTGTGTTAAAATCCCAAAATGAACAAAATTGGTAAACAAATTTTTTCAGGCATCAGCTTCAATAGACTAGGCATGTACTAGGTACCCCGTACCACGAACTCGACAAGATCTGGAGAAATCAAATAGTGAAAAGTTAATTTTTAGAAATACACATATTCTTGGGCTTTGGTATAGACACCCTTTTGTATGCCCGGCTCAATCGCTGGGATCGGAGACGGTTGAATTAATGAATATTTTCTATTATTCTATTTTAAATTATGATAAACCGTTTTTATTGAATCAACATAAAAAGCACAACTCTAGCCTCTTTTGGATTTTTATACATCTCTTCAAGTATGTCTTATTTAGGTTTTGAATTCACTTTAACGTTTTAAATGTCCATTCCCAGCACAATATTTCTCTAAATGGCGATTCTACGGCGAAACATTTGGTAGTGATCCGTAGCCTGTGCAGCTGTGATTAAAATAGCCAGAGACAGGGGCAGGGTGAAGGCTCCAATGATGAGGTTCTCCTGCTTATAGTAGGTTTGTTTCGAGACCACGTCCAGACCCAGGAGTGTGCCCTTGGCGAACAAGTAAATGGAGTGCTCGATCGACTGCCAGATCAGCATGCCCATCTCCAATAGGCAGACGGCCATAATCGTTTCGAAAATATATTTGAAGCCCGGCGACATATTATTGAAGCGCAATGGAAGTATACGGTTATCGTAGATGACATCCAATAGCGCCAAGAAGACAATGGCTGTGGGCAGTACGGGACCGGGAGTTTGTAGCTTCGACTGGGGTGTTATATATAAAGCAAACCGAAATATGAGATGCAATAAGCCGGCGAGAACAACGGATTCTATGGCGGCCATTTTTGGTGCTAGCAATAAAAAATAAAAATAAAAAACGTTTTACAATTTTTTAAAATTTTTCAATATTTCCAAAGTTTTTCTTAACACTGACAATTTTTGCAGTGCATATGTAAGCACAACTTGATTTCCAAATTTTTAGATTATTGCACACTCTTGTATGAGCCGTATTTGAGCCCTGAAGCGCAGATCGGACTATAAATACCGAATTTGATCATTGTAACGGCAACTCGGCGCTGTGCTTAGGGTATCTCCTAGTCGTGCACTTCCGTTACAATAATGATTCTTGCATGAAAGTTATCTTAGCGAAAGGTCGAATTTGAAATGAAGATCCTCATAACACATTTTCAATTCCGTTTTCTTTACGAAAATAAATTAATATTAGTTTTATATTCAACTAATACTATTAAACTATTGACTAGTAAAATGACGCATGATTATTTATTGATTGTTTGTTGATATAAAGTTAGTTACATTTGTTGTTTGTTAGTATCCAGTTCCGAAAACAGTGACTTTTGCCTTGTGAGTTTTGTAGCGCCGTAGGATTTGTGACTGTATAGGCGATTTATTTTATTGATAAAATAAATGTAATTTTGAGAACTCAAAAATTGAGTTCGATTTTGTTGCGTTCGTCGCGCATATAGTACAAAGCTCTTGAATTTGTGTTTGTGAATTTTAAAAATGTGTGTTACGCCTACAATCCTACGCCCTAATCCTTACGAAAGTAATAAATCAAACCAACAGCCATGCCACAAAATAGTATGGGATAGCTCAGTTTGCGGATGCCTTTTCCACAGATAATATGCAGCAGCGAGTGCAGGAAGCTCATGTGTTTTCGGTTCAACTCAGCTGCAGCTGAATCAGTTGCGTATCTCTCCAGATCCTCCATGTCCTTGCCGGCGTTCAGTTCGGGCAAACAAAGCTTGTCGTTGTTGTTGTTGGGCTGGGCCAGAGCGTCATTCAAGTCGTCAAGGAGCACCTGCTCGCCGTCGTCCATCTGGAGCAGTTTGTGCAGCAATTCAATGTCGTGCTCCGCCTCAAGCAGTTGCTCCACTCGCACATGCTTGCGCTCACGGACACCTGCCCTGGCTGGGATGGATGGACACAAATCTAACGGTTGCGATTGTGCCGATCGTTCCGTAGTCTGCTGCTCAACCTGCAGCTCCAGCTCCAGCTCCAGCTTGTGATCCGGCTGCTGCTGCTCCTGCTGCTGCTCCTGCTGCTGCTGTTTCTGCTCTTGCACTGTTTCTAGCAACAGCGTTTTCTTAAACTCCTCTAGGACGGCCTCCTCTATTTGCAGTTTCTTCTGGTTCTCCAGCTCAAGCTTCATCTGTTCCTCAAGTAGCTCAGCGTGTAGTGCCACATCCGCCTCCATTTCGGCCACTGCACGCTGCAGCACGCGGAGAGTCTGCTGCTCGGCCTCCTCCAGTTCCTGGAGACTTCCACTGGTTACAATTGTATCGGTGCTGCGCTGCAGACGTGGCGTCGAGCTGCTCGGTTGACACAGAATTTCCAAACTTGCATCGTTCTCTACGGTCGAGCAATCCATTTGGATACCGGAATCTTCGGCTGTATTCACCAGGGTGCTGGTGCTGCTGAAGCTCTCGTCGTGCTCGCTCTTGGTCTGCAGCGATTTCATCAGGCTGGTGTACTTGCGAGTGCTGGTGTGGATGTAGCTACCGGTGTTATCTAGGCGTACGGGTCCCGGAATTTTCGTTGGCTGCGGCACGGTCCCATTCTTGATAGTACGGGCTTCAAATTTATTGACTGATTCGGTCTGTGTTTCGGCTTCGGCTGTATCCTCCTCTTCTATATTGTCATCCGATGGAGTGGCTTGCACATCGCAACTGGCCATAATTACTATCTGATGGAGCAGTTCTCATGTCTACTATCAGCAGCTTCTCAATGTTGGTTAACTTACCCTGAACTATTTGTTGCAAGACTGACAGAATTTCAGACTGTTTAGGTAGCAAGACTATTTTTATTGTTCTTTTTTCGAAAAATCATATGTTTAATACAAAAAATTCAAATCGACAGTACCCAGGTGTTATTTTCATTGGCCAACTGCGTTGTCTACTTCTCTTCAGTGTTGCACAGCGTCGAGGCTTTTATTAGTCTTGTGGCCAACACTGTTTACGGCTTGAACTCATGCCTTATCTTCGTGAACAACATCTATGCGTCCCAGATTTCATATCCACACTAAATTAATCCGCATTCTCAAATCTAACCAACTTTAATCATACATATAATCATACATATATGAATTTAATAATAAGCTGTGAGCCACTGTAAGTAAATAAAACGCACAAAATTGAAGGGGTTCTAAACAAATTTTGAAATACTTTTATTTTCATAGACTTCCACGAGTTCAGCAAGAAAAATCTTTCCCAATTCTGATTCTATTTACCCAAAAACATTTATAGCTTTGTTTTGTTAAAATGCTTTATTTCTTTTTATTCACTTAATATAAAATAGTATTTCTTATCTCTCCAGATGGAAGAAGTCCACCATTTTTAGGCTCGATTCGTCAGCCAGATAAATAGCAGAGTTGTGACTGTTTTCTTATCTATGAGCCAAATTTGCTGCGCCTGGCGATGCTTTGCACGAGTACGTATGCATGTGTGTGATTGCTAAAGAAAACGGCACACAGAAATGAGAACAATTCTTGTTGCTGCTCGCCAAAATTCGGGAGAGCGCAACGCATATGTAGATAATGCACAAGCACGCATATACACATGCATTTGTACATTTTTGACGATTGCATGTTGTCTATTTATGCGTGTGTGTGTGATTACTTGTACGTTATCTAGCTTTGAATTGCGCTCAGTCGAGCTTGTGGCTTACTTGCTCAATTTGCTCTCCGTTGGTTTTTCGTCCACTTTGGTTGCTCACAAAATTCGTCTGCTTTAGTTAAGCGCCAGCACTCGAGTAAAGCTGTATGAAAATATTGTTAGTGAAAATCCTCGGGTAAATGCCGTCCATCTTTGTAAAGGTGTATACTATCGGACGCTTGCGGATCGGGAGTATCAATTGACATTGAAAAATCGTATTCCAAGTTTTGACAAATCGCGAAAATAAATTCTATTAGTTCTGTCGATTTAAAATAATTTCACAAATCCTTAAAGTGTAATCTTGCCAAAATCGGACTTAAATAAACCAATATGAAGCCGTTCAAAATTTACCAAAACATATCAATTATTTCATTTCGTATAATGATTTGTGAGAAGGTGATGCATGAAAAAATTATGCAATAGTAGGCATACACACATACTTATGTATGTATGTACAAAATATTTGGCGATTATCTCTGCATACTTGCATATGTTTGAATGTGTGCTTTCTTGAGTGAGATCTGCTATGTGTGTGGTTGCTTGTGCGTTATCTACATAGCTTTGAATCGCACTCACACGAATTTTTTTTACTGCCTTTCGTTTCAATGAATAATTTATCTTGTGATCATCTGCCTGTGCTCACCTACCTATGAATGGCACTCACTCAAGTTTAGGGTTTACTTGCTCAATTTTTTCACTCTGCGTCCGCGCAACATAAATCTGTTTTAGTTAGCAGTCGTGTAAAGCTGTTAAAAATTATTCTGAGTGGAAATTATCATGTAAAATCCGCTCATATCTCTAATGGTGTACGTTTTCGGACTTGTACGGATCGAGAGTATCAAATGTCAATATTTAATTAACGAAATATCATTCTTGAGTTTGACCAAAATGGAGATGATAACATAAAACTAGTTGCCAAATCCAAGTCGGGTTTTAAATCAAAATTTGTAGAGTTTAAGTATATCCTTCAGAAGTTGGACGTAATTCAGCCTATATAAAGCCATTCAAAATACTGATTAACTTTTCATTTTGTATTTTTTAGCCCATGGACAAGATAATCAGTATCGGTGGCACCTAGATGGCCTCTAGGTATGGATAAACAGTTATCAAAATGTCATTCTAAATGTTGACCAAAACGGGAAGTGATGTGTTCCCGAAATGAATATTTTGATTGTTCTGGCAATTTTAGGGGTTCCACGAATCCCAAGTAGTATGTCTTGCCAAAATCGGAGGTAATGTAACGTCAATATTTAAGTTTGCACAAACTAATTTTTTATTTTGTGTTTTTCAGCTAAATCTCCATGGACAACAATATATTCAGTACCGTTGTTACCTAGATGGCCTATATATTCTAGCTTGTTCCAAACCTTGGATATACATTTATAATATCGAATTCTACAGTTGTTGATAAATCTGGTGGTTCTGTCGATTTTAATCATCAATCAACAAATAATTGCTTTCGTCGGTACCTAGATGACCTATATATCCTTGGATATTCAATACCAAGGATATAGTCCTAGCGAACCTAAAGGACCGAGCTCTTGCAATATGTGCAAGAGCACGGTATAGAAATATGTACGTCTTTTACAGCTGCCCCCACCTACAGCCCCGCTCCTGGATGGTTCCTAGTTGACTACCATATCCTTGGTTATACCATGCCATCGATATAGTCCTTGGTAACCTAAAGGATCAAATCCTTGCAAAGTTTGCATTGAAATGGTCCAAAAATATGTATGCTTTTTGTTTTAGAAGCCCCTGTAAATGAGCAGCAGCTACTGCTGCTAATTAACAGTCAACCTTACAGCACTCGGTTTACATTACCTGTTGTTTAACATCACTCATTTTCAATGAGTTACATTTTTGCCCTTACGCGTATGCAACGAAAATTTTTCTTCGAAAATACTCGTCGACCTTCTGAGCATTTCTGTTCGCCTGGTGCTTGAGCGGAATTTTAGTAATATGTGGGACCCGGCCGCCAACAAGCGCGCCCCTTTTGGGTATGCAACAGAAATTTTTCGGCGGCTGAAAATTTTTGTCGACCTGCTGGTCATTTCTGTTCGCCTGGTATTTTAGCAGAATTTAAGAAAAACTCGGCCGCCAACGGACGCCCCTACGGGTATGCAACAGATTTTTAAATACCGTTGATTTTTGAAGTAGAAAAACAGGAATTTGTTTAAAAATATTAATTATTTATTTTTGTTAAAATTAACAAATTTGTTGTTTTTTACGTGTATTTTCGATTGTAACCTAAAATAACTATATCTGGCTTAATATATGTCCGATCCTGGAAGGAATAGCCTCGTTAGATTCGTAATAGTCCTTTGAATCGATCAGAATCCTTGAGTCCTTCAATCTGAAAAGATAAAAACAAATTTAAATTAAAAAATGCCAAAAGAGATGTAAGGGTGTTTTGAAGAAAGAAATAGCCATAACACGGCCATATCCTTGCAGATTTTCAAAGGACATGGTGCGTTAGGGTCGTAGGGACCAACTGCATTGAACTGCATTAAAACATTATGGGGTCATCTAAGAATCCTGGACTAGGTAATTTTTCAGTCGCGGGCCGCAAGGAAAATTGGCTGAAATCACAAAATTACGGTTAAATCGCCATATTTCCGAAACTACAAGGACGATCTTGATGTCCTTTAGTCAGATTGTAGTCCTGATCAATACAATTTTTTTGACACAGGACTCGTCAGGATATGACCGAGTTATAATCTATTTTCGGTTGACAAATTTTTCGTTAAAACTTTTTTGTCTGAAGGACTTTCGTCCTTTGGGTTGTATATTCGTAAATGGGAGGATGAGGACACTCTACTGTCCAAAGGACATCGCGATAGTCCTTCAAATGGCGAAGTTAGTCCCGAATTTTTCGATTTTTGGCAATTTTCTCAATTTTTAGTCAAATTTTTTGTCGAATCCTTGAAATCCTTGAATGCCAATCGGTAGTCCTGCTCCTCACGAGTTCAGAAAGGTATATCCTTCTGGTATCCTTAAGGATATGGCCGAGTTATGGCCATAAAAAAAATGTCCTTTTTAGAAAAGTGGCCATATATCGGAAAGCACAAGGTCGATTTTGATGTCCTTTGGCCAGTTTGTATTCCTAGTCAATACACGTTGTTTAACACAGGACTTCCAGGATCCGCAAGGATAAAGCTGAGATAGAGCCATTTTAATGTACAAAACAAATGCCCTTATATCTTGGCTGTTTGAAGGACCTTCTTCCTTTTTATTATATTTTCTGAATGGGCAAGACAAGGAAAGTCTGATGGCCAAAGGACATGCCGAAAGTCCTTAAAATGCTCCAGCTATGGCCAGTTTTGTAAAAGTATCCTTTTTAGAAAAATAGCCATAACTCGGCCATATCCTTCCGGATTTTTAAAGGACATGGTGCGTTAGGATGGTAAGGACTAACTGCATCAAACTGCATCAAAATATTAGGGGGTCACCTAAGAATCCTGGTCAATGCAAGTTGTTCGATATAGGACTCGTCAGGTTTGTCCAGGAGAGCGAAGCTGGAGAGTATGCATAGAATGTCTTATTGATTTTTGGGAAGGGATTTTGAATGCCCGCTTCTTGCGCATATACATATAAAGCAGTGTCCTTTTGAATTGCAATCTTGTAAAAAAATTTTTTGCGTGATATAAACAAAGACGTGTTTAGACAGACAACAAAGTCGGAGGTTAGTTGATATGCTTGAGAGTTAAGATGGTTGTTACCTTTTGCTGCTTTGAAAGCTAGGCCAGAAACCAGATATAACCACCGCGCCTGGGCTCTGCTTAGTTCTCCAGTTCCACCTTGAGCTTGAGATGTGTGGGCAGTTCGTTGTAGATGAGGGGCGGTACGCGTGCTGTGTAGAGAAAATGTTGATTAGCTTGTGTGTGAGGGCAAGGCAAGTGCCAAAGGGCCTCTACTCACTGTTGCATTTGTAAACCAGATCCGACCATATAATCATTTCTTGGGAAAAACAAAAAACGCCCAGCCGTCCGCCCTTGAGGGTGAGTGTGGCATCGTAAACATTGTGCGAGTCCAAAATCAAACGTTCGCCCTCATATATGCTAGAGAGAAATAAGATGCATTAGCTAAAACAAAAATACTGTATTTTGGCGAAATTACCGCAGTCTGATGAGCCCGATGGAAGGTCGATGCACCAGGGACCAGCGATATGAGGTCTTCTCCTTCCAGCCCGCATTCAATGGATCCTTCCACAGCAGCCTTGCCTGACCAGGCGTGTCGCCGGCATGCCACAAGCTGTTACGCAACATGGACCCGGGACCTGTGTTGCTGTCAATCAGCTTTATCTGGACGCCCGGCTCGGCGGAGGCGCGGAAGGGCGACGAGTGCCAATAGGTCTGGGTGCCCTTCTTCCACTGCACCACATAGAATTTGCGATTGCTCTGGTAGCTAAAGATGAAGCCCACATAGTCGTCGTCCGTATCGTCGTTGACATAGAAAGTGCCCTCAAAATCGACACCTCCGAACGAATCGCTACCAACCACCAGGCCCGGATCGGAATTGAGAGTTTGTATGATCTCCGAACCATTTGCATGCACCTCCCAGTTAGGATCCAGCTGAGCATCGCCCTCAGGATCCAATATAACCGAACGTATAGTGCGGAAATCGGTGCGTTGTATCATGGAATTGTTTGGACAGTTATCGATAATATTGGGCGTGCCGTCCTCGTCCTCGTCGTCCTCGCAGACATCGCCCTTGCCATTGTGATTAATGTCCAACTGTTGCGGGTTCTTGGCCAGTGGACAGTTGTCTCTGTAGTTGGGCACGCCATCGCCATCCATGTCATCGTCACAGGCATCGCCCTTGCCATCGTCATCCGTGTCCAGCTGATCCGAGTTGCTGACCATGGGGCAATTATCCTCGGAGTCCTGTATGCCGTCGTCATCGCCATCAATGTCGCTGTCGCAGGCATCGCCCACCAGATCCATGTCCCGATCCTCCTGCGTGGGATTTGGTATAGTGGGGCAATTGTCGCACACATCTCCCACACCATCGTTGTCCACATCGGATTGGTTCGGATTGCGCAGCGCAGGACAATTGTCATACTGATTAAGCACCGAATCGTTGTCCATATCCTCGTCGCACTCATTGCCCAGGCCATCCTCGTCGGTGTCCAGCTGCCGGCGATTCGAAATAAAGATACAATTGTCACAGGCATCGCCCACGCCATCATGATCCGAGTCCAGCTGATCGCTATTGTAGGCAAACGGACAGTTGTCCTTGCCGTTTAGCACCAGGTCGCTGTCTGCATCATCGTCGCAGCCATCGCCCATGCCATCCAGATCGGCATCCTCCTGACCAGAGTTCGGTAAATCTGGACAATTGTCGCGACGGCAGTGCGCCTCCGCACAGTTCAGCGACTCATCCGGCCAGCCATCCAAGTCGCGATCCCTGCCACAGACACGCCCATTGCCCGCCCAGCCGACGCTGCAGCGGCATTGATAATGATAATTATCCGTGGGCACGCATTCCGCATTTCTGGCGCAGATGCTGCCATCGGGACAGATATCAGCCGCAGATAGGCAGCTGAAGGTGCCATTGGCCACATAGCCATCCTGACACTGACATCTGTAGGAGCCCTAGAAAACATTTTCATCAGATTGTTAGCGAACGTGTGAATCTCGAATCTCTTAAGAGCGTACTTACAATACTATTATGACAGACAGCATGTTCCGGACATCTAAAGAAGCCCATTTTGCACTCGTCTATATCCAAGCAGGTTTGCTTTTGGAAGCCCACTGCCAAGTAGTCCGCCGAGTATCCTACAAGGAATACACTTTTAATTATGAAATATAAGAAAAAGAAACACTTCGGAATATTTACCATGTGCATGGATGCCATCGAAGCCGGGCGGACAGGGTCCACAGCGAAAGCCCGGATTGAGATTGCTGCAAATGGCCCTCTCATCGCAGGGCTGATAGATCGCACACTCGTCCACGTCGTGGCAGGTGGTGCCATTGATTTTGTGGCCACGTGGACAGGAGATGCACTGGAAGTAGGGCGGGAAGCCCAACTGAATGCACTCGACACCTGCCAAAAGAAATATAAATTCAAATAGTTATTAAATATTTCGAGTATTCTGTCTAGTGTGGCAAAAGTGAGGTTAAGTCGGGAGAAAGCAAGGTTATGTTTGCTGTAAGTAAAAGGAGTTATGCTTAAAAGGATAACGATTAGTTGGTTAGGATTAGAAGTGTGCATTATGTGAGCGCGTTTAAAATAAAAATGTTGCCCTAACCCAATGTTTTCCACAAAGTGAGGTTATGTGCTAAATTTGAGGTTAGCCTTAAACATAAACTAATCCTATAAAGCATGACCAGAAAATGATAGTGAATAAACATGAAGCGCAATGCAATTCAATAAAAATAAGATAAGATAGTCGAATGAAAGATGAATTTGATAGATAGATAGCTGAGATAAATGAGGAATTGAATTTTATTTACCGAAAATGTATCCAAAACGCAGACGCACTGTGCTATTTGAAGCTTTTAAAAACGGGGGTTTTTTTTTGGTTTTTCTCAAATAAAACAAATGTAATTTGATATGTTTTTGAAAAGTATATTCTGTATAATTTTATTCACATCTCATTTTAGGCATTACAGAGAGGGGAAAACAAATTTCGTAACACGCTTATAAACTCCACTTTCTGGTTGGTTTCTTTCTCGAAGTATTATTAGAGTATTTACTATTTGTTTTTCAAAAGTTGATTTAATTTAATTGTATTTTTATTATTATTTTTGTAAGTACTTTTGTGAATTATTGTTTAAGGGCGAAACGTTGCTAATACTTTGAATTATTTCGATTGCCATTCATAGAGCTTACAACTTATGACTATTTATAAGTGATTATTTATGTGCTCTCTCTCTCTCTCTCTCTCTCTCTCTCTCTGTGTCTAAGTTACTCGAATTTATAATTAAATTCTACTCTGATCTGATTCAGTTCGTTACAACCGAGTATTTGCGTGCTGTGTACTGGCTCTGCCTCTGATAGTGCTGCACATTATGTGTGGGCATTAGAATGTTGCCTAATAATGAGAATTGTTTATGCATTAATATCGATCGTATAATAAAATATCAGTTATTTGTGTCATTCTGTCTGCTAAGCAAATCCACCCCCACTGCCAGCAGATACTTTGTACTTTTGCCGAATTCAATTAGCCAACTTGACATATAAGGCACGACATTCCGACAAGCCTTTAAACACAACAAATATATGACTCAAGCTCTCCTGGCCTCCAACTTTGTGTCGGCAACTGCGTCTGCGCTCTAATTAGCGAGCTTGTTTCACACATTCACTGAAAATTGCTCCTGCTAACCTATAATTTAAAGGGGATTTCAATCAAAAGGGTTCAGCGCTTCTTTTGCGTTCTATAACATTTTTTCGAGCTGCGCATTAATAAATCAAACAGTCGTGTGAACTGTGCACGCTACACGCCAATTGGACGGGCGTATCAATTTATATAAAAAGAAAAATTAGCTGAATTGGCATATATATCAAATAAATATCAGGAATACCCCCATTAATTTGTATTAAAATCGGATTTTTATGTGGCCAACATTTGTTATCCTAAACGAACATAAAGAAAATCGTTCCATAATAACGAATTACATTCCTGTTCAGTCTCAAAATCCAGCTCCAAGTAGCAGGAATACCGCTATTATTTTTAATAAAATCGTCGTTTTTTATCTGACCCTAATTTGTATAATTGAAGGAATTATACTCGTTAAATATAATTCTTCAAAAGCCCAACTCAACTCTTTAACTTGTTAGATTTTAAATTTAGTTAGATATAAAATTGATATTTTACGAGGGAATAAGAATTACAGCTATATCATGAAATTGTAATTGAAACCACAAAAATAGATGAAGAAATTTAGCTACAGAAACATGGCTTATATATCTACTTTGACCTGATCTCTTTAAAAACCTAGCAAGCCCAAAGAGTTCAATCAAATTGCTGCTCTTCAACTTTTATTTAAATATTGCAAATTAAAGAAGCTGCTTTAAGATTGAAGATCTTGTGTGCTGTTGACTCATCCCCGGCCAAGTTTCTAAACTAGCTACCCAACACACACGGCCGGCTTTGGCCCAGGGCACGACAAACTCAAATTAGCCATAAAAGAGCTGAAAACAAAACGTGGCCCCAAATCTCCACTTGAGACTTAAACTAATCAAAGAGTCAAACAGACCGCAAAGAGGAAAACACAATCCAATACATAAACACACATTGTTGTTGTTGTTGTTGCTGTTGTTGTTATGTTTATTGACTTACCTGAGGGGCATGGCGTGTCCAGGCAAGGATTGCGTAGCGAACATGTGCGTCCATCACCTTCATAGCCAGCCGGACAGGAGTCACACTGGGCACCGTTCACCGTATCGTGACACTGAACGCCTCTGCAAGTATAGAGTATAGAGTATAGAGTATAGAGGGGCTGTGCTTTTGTTTGTGGCCACATATTGTTCATTATTATTAATACTGACAGCCAGGAACAAATATACAACAAAAGATTGTAGAAAACCAAAAACACCATACAAAGTCAAATTTATTAATGATGTGCGCTTCGCTTGGATACAAGGGAGGAGGGGTATACAACACACACACACACAATAGGCCGAGAGGGAGACGACAGAGAAAAGGTTACCAAATGGAACCCTCCTTGGACCCTACTCTTGGGCACAAAAGCACCGACAGCGCGCACATGTGTGTGTGTGTCTTGTGTCTTGTGCGGGACTCGGGACTGGGGACTCGAAGGTGTTCAGGCTTTCGGCTTTTGGGCTGTGCAACACGAGGAAGTTGTGAGACGAAAAGAAAACAAATTACAATTACATGAAAATGTTATTAAAAACCGTTGAGGCAAAATAAATAAAAGAAGGCACTGTGCCTGTGCATGTCTGCTGCCTCGTAGGATGATGTCCAAGTCCAAATGGCCCATGGCCAAAAAAGACAACAACAACAACAACAACGGCAAATAAACACAAAAAAGTGCAGTTACAAGCTGGATGGCATGTAAATTTCTCTTTATGTTTGGGCGAGCAGTGTGGGATTTGCTTATGGCTTCCATATAACATTTACATATCATGACACGGACATTAGTTATTATCCAGGTTACGCTTCGGCCCAGAGCTCCAACAGCTGCGTAACGCCGTTGCCCAGGTTTGAAACTCTCCCAGGACATAACTCATTCCAATCGCTGAACGCGCATTTCCCAGGAAGTCCATCACACGGCCAGACATCCAACTACTGTGCCCAACTGACCCACAAGCCATCCGTTGCCATATTTTATGGCAAAAATCTACACAGCGGTCAGTTGGAAAATAGAAGAAGCAGGAAAAAAATACGTACTCCACAATCATGTGGGCAGAGTCAATAGCTCAAGAGAGTTGAAGACAAAGCCAAAGCCCTGCCTCGTCAAATTCTGTTTGAAATGTAACGCAGAAGTAGGAAATCGTTTAAAAACAGCTAAGCGTACTCTGGTCGGCAGTGCCCGACGAGGAAATACCCTAAACAAACATTCAAGCTTCCTGCTTCCTCTTCGCTTTGAACCATTTTGTGTATGGAAAATGCATTCTTGACTAACTTCGGCGTTTAATGTCCGATCGTTATGGAATTTTTAGTTCTCAAACAATGGCGTACAAAGATTTACATACATCTAAGTGAGTTTTTCAAAAAATATTTGTAAATTGTTCATAAAACACTCTACACATCATGTTTGATGTATCTAGTTCTAATCATTTTCAGGTCTTGCTTAAAATATCATATTTGTTAAATCTATATTTATCGATATTGGAGAACATATTGATAAAATGATAAGCACGTGCTGCGTTTGTTATAGAGACATACATATTTTCTAATTTGAAGTCTCTAACTTTTGAAATTCCCGAAACATGTTCACACAGTCGGACACCCAGCCATCATGCTGATCAAGAACATATATATACTAAATGCGCTCGGAAATGCTTCCTTCTACCTGTTACATAAATTTGCACAGATAATGTTAAGAATTGCTTTTGTTGATACAAAGTCTAATCAAGAATTGCCATTTGTAATTAACCAGTAGAACTGCCCACTATATGAAAATGACAAGCCTTCAAGTACATGCTACGCCCTATATATGGCCGATAGCTATAGGAATTCCGGCTTGTCATAGCCCACGTCAAATGTTGTATGCCCCGAGCTGGTGGTAGAAGTTGTGTACAGCCTGGCTTGAATTGAGGCGCAAAAAGTATTCGAGTGTTGTTTTCTTTAGTGTGGCTGAGAGTTTGCGCTGTCAGTTTTGGTGGATTCATCAGCCGCAGCTGCTGGTGGGCAACAACACTTGTCGGGCGTGTGTGTGTGTGTGTGAGTGTGTGTGTGTGCGATCGTCAATATTTTGGTAAGAGCATTTGGCGGCGCACAACGGACAATTAGCAAAAAGTGTTAAGTACTTAAGTGGCAAGGGGTTCAAGCCATGTTCGCGTCCATGTCCAAGACAGACAGAGAGGCAGAGAGGGAGAGGGGGGGGGGGAATAGGGAGTAAGACACAGAAGAAAAATGTTGCGTAGGGGTTTTCGCCTTCTGGCGTTGTTCGCAGGCGTCCGGCACTTTGCGCTTTTCAGCTTTGTTTCAGTTCAGTCGACCATATTGCTTTGGATACCACCGCGAGAGTCGTTCATCGGCGTCGTTTGAGTGCTGGGAAAATAGCCAGTCAAGCGCATCGGGGAACGCATTAGCATTTCTGCCACTGCCCGCCCCACCGCTGCAAAGGCAGCCGCATCCATCGCATCCACTTTCCTCCAGTCACCGTCTACACACACAGTTAGCATGACGAACCAACTTGCCGTTTGCCTTCTTGTTGTTGTTGCTCGTTCTTTTTATTAACCACGCATTCATAATTCATAATTCCAATTTGCTGCCTGGATCCTACCTGGACTCAGCCAAAAGGCTGCCTGCTAGTTGTCCGGCCTTCTTCCTCTTCCTATTCCTCTTCATCTGCTGCTGCTGCTGCTGCCTCTGCTCAAGTCCAGTTCAAACACTTGCCAGGCACCACCCAAAAAGACACAAAACCTTTAGACACGGACGTGAACCCCGAACAGCGGACTCTGAGTAATGTGTGAACATGGATTTGAAGCAGGCAAAAAAAACTCTTAGGCTCTGGTCGCAGCGCGAAATGAGCTACAAAATGCCTAAAGCGAGGCATAGGCGTTAGGCTACTGCAAATATCATTCTTAAAACTATAAACAATTTGTAAAAATAAATTTAAATTTGTTATATTTTTAGTAGGTAGTTAAACAAAAAGAAAAGCCAATTTATTAAAGACGACAACACATCCGCACTTCAGGCTGAGATTTGAACCAACATTCTGGTTCAAAACAAATATTTATGCTTAAATTGAATACTAGTCAATTCTTAATCAGTTATAAAAAAATGTAAAAAAAATACAGAGAATTGATTCTTAAACAGATATTTTGAATAGGTTGCCAAGATAATCAATTTATAGTAAAAAAAAGTCCTAGTTGGAGAAAACTTTTCAGTTAAAATAGATATTCCGGATATCAATTATTATTATAAATAAGTTTGTATACAATTAGGAAAGAGAATATAAGTCTCAAGGCGATTGAGAGAGGATAAAACGCTAAATCTAGAAATTTATACTTCACAACAGTAGAAAATGTTTTAAAAAATATTTTGCATTGTTTTGTAATTAATGTCAACATTTTTGGCTAAATGTCAATTAAAGATAGTTAATAGATATTTGGAAAAACTACAATTGGAATACGAAGAAATCATAAGTCCAACTCATAATTTATTCAGTGATAAATCGCATTTAGTTAACACTTGCAATCTTATTTCGCAGCTCATTCGAATCTTTCGTCTACCATTTTTCATGCTGATGCTGATTGATATGGTAACCATTTGAAAAGCGTAATGAAACCATTTCTTAGCCAAATCACTTGGCCATGGTGCATATGTAGCTCGCAAAAGTTCGCAAAACTTATCTATTATTGGAAAAGCTGAGATCGCTGCCTGCTCGCTTTTATCCCACCCAAATTGCTTCTAATGGTAGCGCATGCCATGCAAATGCATACCACTTACTCCCAACAACAGGCAACACTTGGCTCTCCCTTAAAGGAGTTGCAGTTGTGAGATGCATCCACAACAACAACAACAATATCTGCCATGTGGCGCACGCTTCGGACAAACTACAACTAACTGCCATAAAGCGGCGTTTATTTTGCCACAGGCCACTTATCTGTGAGGTTGGCAGTAGGTTGGCTGCCGGCTCCGACTCCAGCTCGATCTCTGGGGCTGGCTCTCGACTTGGTCTTGACTTGGCTTGTTTTTGTTTTCATTGCGGCGGACGGGCAACGAACCAAGCGAGCAGCCACAGCCACAGCCAGAGCCAGTTGGCTATTAATTTGAATTCAAGCAGTCAAACGCTGCCTCAGTCCACGGCGACACAGTCAACAACAACAGCAACAACAACAACAACGACAGCAACAACAACAACAACGACAACGTCAACTTGGAATCAATGGCTCCACTTTTGCGGCACGGCTGTTGCTTTTTTGGTGCGTAGGCGAACTCGATTCGCGGCTGAGATATGCGTTCCACCGAACTTTGATGTTGCTGTGAACGCAAGCTAACCCAGCCCCATCTCTCCTCTCCCTCTCTATCTCCATCTCTCTCTCTCTTTCTCGCTCTGTCGCACCGCTTTTACCAGCCAATGTCGGGCTGTGTAAACGTTTTGTTTTGGACCCGGCCCCAAAGAATCTGTGGGAAAGTTGTTGCCATAATCAAATGGAATTCTGTTTTTGAATTGTTCACAACACATGTTGCAGCTGGAATCGGTATCGGATTGGGAATCGGAATCTCTATCTAAATCTCAATCTGCAGCTAAGCTAGGTAACATAATCTCCCTTGACTGCAGCTTGATTGCACTGCTGATTATTTCATCATACGCATAATTTAAATTGAACAACAGACTCACAGAAAATTGTGCGTTGAAAGGCAGTGAAACTTTTGAGGCTGCAGGCTAAACTATGATTGGGTTTTCAAATTAGGGTCTGCTCAATAAAATTTAGTAGATCAGTCGGTTTTTGGAAAAGGAAAGTGCGTTTTAAATTGCTAATTCTGAATGCACTGTTTTAATAATCCCTAAGCTAAGCCACATAATTGAGATAAAGAACTTTTATATTAAATATTATTTACAACTATTCGAGTATAGGGTAAATAGAGTAAATAATAAATAAAGAAGAATTAAGCTACCAACTTCCGAACACGGTTCCCCGAATGAGAAAAGAATGAAGTATAAGCATTTGACCAACATATTCAAGTAATTTTATCAATTAAATAATAAAATAACACTCTTTTTAAATGTGCTTGTATACAGAAGAAACAAGTTAGAATTTTGCACAATTATGCTCTTAAATGAATGCAAGTCTCAATTTAAATAAAGGTACAGACGACTAACATCTCTGGGATGAAAAGGAACTAGCCTTTTTATAATATAAGCTTGGCTTTTTGAATAACGAAAGAGAAGACTGAAAAAGTGTCATCCACAGGATCATAGCTAACAGGATACATTATACTTATTTAAACGCTAAAAGATTCATCGTGATACCACAGTAGACCCCATCACGATAGAGAAAACTCTTAGTTCTACCCCAAAGCACGGATGAAGTTTAAAATGCGTTTGGGTTTTTGCTTGGAAAGATTTGATAGATCTAATAGTTTAAAAAATTTGTAAGTATCAAAGGTTAGTTCCCTTTTTATCGCGTTATTCCCTCACATATAACTAGCACAAGACTAAAGAACGAAAATGGAACTTGGTCAGATCTTATCGATCAAAGAGGAAATAGGTTCCAAGAAAATAGGAATAATTTTGCATTGAGCCTAAGGGAATATGTAATTTTAAATTCATGTTTTTTTAAAAGTACTTAACATTTCGAGTATAATTTATATAAATATATATTTATATTTATAATATCACAAATAACTAAGTACTCGCTATTTGAGTTTATTCCTTATGGAACCTTTAATGCATTACCCAACAAATTAACAATGTAGAACAGCCCCAAAGATGAGCAACAATAAAAAGTTCATTAACAACTTAAACACAATGGGCCAAGAACTTATATAACGCCGTGATAGCTGCGGACAACAAAGGATCAACAGGTGTGCATGTCATTAGCGCAAGTTTTATGGCTTTTTAATAGAAATGATTTGAACATACGAAACTCTGATCAAAAGTCAGGCAAACAAAGCGCTGGCCATGTTTAACTCTGACGCCGGTACGAGAAACATTTCGTGGGTTCTAAATTAAAATCATGGTCAAGAGTTGTGGCCCATTGTATGTGTGTGTGTGCGTGTGTGCGTGTGTGTGTGTGTGTGTGTGTGTGTGCTTACCACACACATTGGCCACATTTCATCGATAATGAAAGATGACAGTAACGAGTCGGCGGCGTTGCCCGACAATGCTGACAACATTTAAAACAATTTTATGCAAATTAAAATACGGTCAGCCGAGGGCGCACCTTCCAACGACAGAGAGAGACAGATCCCTTCTGGCCTAGACACCTACAATAATACGGCAGAGATTGTGGACCGTCCGGGCCCGTTTCCAATAATTTAAACAAATTTATGGTCTTCGGCTGCTTCCTCGGCGCGCGTGGCCAAGGCGCTCACTTGTCGGTGGTTGCTACAGTTAGGGGTCTCACATTTCACGTCGAGCCCAGAGACCGAAATCACTTTAAGTGTTTTGACACAATGAAGTCAGTCAGTTCTCAGTTCTCAGTTCTCAGTTGTCGGAGCTCGAATGGGCTGCGCATATCTTCTGTGCGGGTTGCCTGCACAGCATTTAACTAATTTATGCGGCAGTTTCAAGTGCCATTTGTGGTCCAGACCTCACAGCTTACCATCTTCCACATTATTCCCTTTGTATTATTGCAAAGGTTTTGTTGCATTTTGTTTGAGAATTTCTACAAAATATTTCCCTGTTCCGTTATGGCATGTTATGCGTTTTGTTTAACATATTTATGACATGTCTATTCTCAATTTCGAACTTCTAGAATTTATGTTTTTATTAGTCCAATATTCAGTGACATTGCTGTGGGTCTTATGCATAATTAGTTGCTCGCGTCTGACACAAATGGGCCCAGTTATAAAGCCAAGACAGAACTCGATCTCCTTTCACCCGCGGCCCTTTCTTCCGGTACACAAACAAAACTCCATATGGGCTGTGGGTGGTTTAACGACTAGACTAGGTTCTGCCAAATGCAATATGTGTAGGCTACTTTTGATGCCTTTGAGGCTGTGCTGGGCTAGTTCCAGCTGCGCTCTAAAGTATCTACGATATCAGCAGGTGACTTTAGTGCATTTCCCTACTTGAAACCATATCGCACTCTTAAGCAGGTTTGGTGTGAGTAAAACCCTTTGCCTTAAAGACTTCTTCATATTCATATTAATTATATCTCTCTGTAATCTCAATGTTCAATTATATGCTGACAGGCAAGGTTTATAGCAATTCGAATATTCACTTGAGACTAACCTCTGAGACTTGTTCTACTAATTTTGAAAATGGGTCCATTATTTCTTGATTGATTTGCAAATCTTCATCTCTCTCTCTCTCCCTTTAGCTGGTTAGTTCTGTAGAGGAATCAACTAGATGTTGCGATTGTAAGTAATCCAGTTAATAATAGTAATAATTATTGTTTAAAGTATTCTTCATTTTATAAAGATCATGAATAAAAAACTTGGCTAGGCTAAGCTCTTTCATGTCACTATTAAAGCTGATTTTTAAAAAGCTGCAAAGCCGATTTATTCGTAAGGCAATAAACTTGAATGACTAAGTGCTAAGTGGAGTAGCCAGATTTAATCTTAAGCCGACAAGGGATTAGGCATTTTGCACATTTGGATTGGCATATCGAGCCTCCGAGATCTAAGCACTTATCACAAGGATAACCAACTGAATGGAAGCCAAGCATAACTAATGGCCTTAGGACTATAATAAAATAAGAGAATCTAGTTTTGCCAATGACAATCTCTATGCTCTTTTTCATTCACTAATCAGCATACTGATGCTCCTCCAATCGACATGGCTTGCAGAAATGAAATCTCAATGGGCACGACTTATCAATCATAGATAGAAAAGGCTTCAGCTGTCTAAAGTGGCAGGGAAGAGTCGCTTGACTGCATCATTAAGCCATAAAAAACATCAAATTGCCATTAAGGCCATATGCAAATAATTGCAGACTCAGTGAGAGAAACCCTTGAGCGACATTTTGCGTGAGGCAGCGGCGCCTTTCATGCGTCGGGCGTCCAACTGCATCAAGGCAACAGCATGACAAATACAATTAACATGGATGCACTGGCCACGCCCCTGACGCCATTAACGTTATGGTGTATATATATATGTATATAAAAAACATAAAAGCTACAAACAACAAAAAATAAGCTTGAAGTTAATTTTTTCGCACTAGGCACTTACAGAAAACAGGGCCTGTCCGCGCAGCTGACGCCGGGCTTGCAGACTTTGCCATCGCCAATGAAGCCAGCAGGACAACGGCCGCACCTGGGTCCCGAGGCGGTCTCGTGGCAATCAACGCCTGTGGGCAGCAAGATGAAGAGAATTGAGATGAAGTTTGAGTTGGGTTGTTGGGGATGTGCTGGGTGTGTTCGCAATGGATGTGAGTCATGGGTCACACACTTACCAGGATAACAAGGATTCGCAGTGCGGCAATTGGGCTCGAGGCGTATATGATTGTCTCCACTGGGCTCCTTGCAGCCCGCACAGTTCTCCAAGAGCATGCGCAAGTAGGCAATCTCCTGACGCTGGTGGGCGACATCTTCGCGCAGCAGCTTAACCAATGCCAGTAGATCGCTCAGCGATCGTGCGAGGGCGTCTGCAACAATGAGCACAAAACGCGCAGAAAACCATATAAAATAAGACTTTAAATAAAGCAACAATAATTCATGAGCCGCTGCGTACTCGCACCGGGTGTGTGTGTGTGCAGTGTGTGGGAAGCGTTCGGGCATCTGACAAGATTAAGGCCTAACCAATGCTAAAATCGCACTCATTTTGAGTGCACTCTGCCACCACACACACACACACTTGCCCCGTGAAACATGTGTGTGTGTGTTTGTGTTTCTGCCCGGCTTCCCTGATTGCAACCTAATCCGCTTTGTCGCTTGGACGGGTCTAAGCCCGGACCCAGCGACTGGGCCTCAATATCCAGCTGCTAATGCGGCGCGTTTTAGCGCAGTTTAATGCAATGCGACAACAGAGCTGAGCACCCAATTAGATCTAAGCGCATTCAGAGATGCTTCCATGGAGTCACAGTCACAGTGTTTATGAGTCACAGTCATAACCTCATCACAGTCACGCTTCTAAATGTTACGGAAATAATTTAAGTAACCTTTTTTTAGCTACCCTCCCGCATGATCCACTCTGCACGGCAAATCACAAACATATTTATAAACATATTTATAAATAATGCCTTTCTATGCGATTCTCACGATGATGCAAATTAATTAAGTTAAGTTCTAAATAAAATAATCGAAAATATATAAATATTTAAAAAAAAAAACAAAACTTAACCAAACTAAATCTAATTTCTAAAACTAAATCTAAATGTGTATATAAAGTAAATTAAGGTTAATTAAAATATCCTAGCGTATTAAACATCGGATTGAGTACACATTTCAAACTAAATATGTAACAATCAGCAATATCTCAATATCTAACGAATGCTTGCACAAATAAATACAAATAGTATTTAAATAATGTTAATTCAAATATATTTTATAACCTTTGGTTAAACCAACATGTGCAATAAATTATTTATAATAACATTAAGTTTTATATAATTCTTGCATTTTTATTTAGCAATATTTTGACTTATTTGTGTAGTTTATCGTTTTTAAATACTTCTGAATGATGGAATATTTTTTCTGCAGTAGGTATTAATAAAGTTATTTTTTAATTCTGAATCACAATGAATCACAATCACAGAAAAACAACCAAACTACCTCACAGACCTTTATATTATTTGTATTTTGATAATAAAAAAAAAACCCAATCTCTGAGTCACTTTTGATTTAAAACGCGTTCCCTCGAAATAATTATCAAATATTGCGACTTGAGCATGACAGTAATTCGAAGTCACAGTGACAGGCTGCTCACAATAAAATCTGCACTGTTATTTTTTCAGACTTCTATCTTATCCTCTTGGAAAAGCATCGTAATAAACTCCCAGCTCATCTCCAAATCTCATATGTTGTATGACGCCATGTTAGACACATGGCAACAACTAAACTAGTCCAATATTCCATCGGTTCCAACTGTCTGTAGATGATGCCGTCCGTCCGATTGCCTGGCTGTCTCTGTGCTTGAGTGAGTTTTGTCAACATTGAAAACGCCGCCACCGCCTCAACGCCCAAACGCATCCGTTCGGGCCATGAATGCAGGGGTAGGGTTCGGGGCTCGCTCGCTCGCTCGCTGGCTCGATCTGTGATCTTGTTTTGGTTACGTTTGGGTTTTGGTGTGCAACCTTCGTTTCTATAAGCCACGTCGGCGTCATTCATTACGTTTGCCTTTGCGATTTATATGCCGCCCAGTTGCCTGCCGCGTGTCTCTCTCTGTCTCTGTGTGGGTACAGAGCGTGCTACCAATTTGGCGTCTTGCGCTGAGCTAGATAAATAATAATTATGCTGGATCGACATCGACCAAACGGCACTCAGCACTAGTTTTGCACGGGCTTTGGATCGGCTTTGGCATATCTTTGGGTTCATTAGTGTTGTCTTTTCTGTGGGCGCTGCTTCTCGCTGGTTTCTCTGGCACTTAGCGGCGACTTATTGCCAGTTCCGAATGTGGGTACTTACATAAATAAGACTTATACACATATATATCTACTGTAATTAATTGGCTGCAGATTTGTAAGGCATTATCACATTAAGGCAGTTATTGCACTGGCTAAGCAAGAAACTGCGTTTTCAACTGGCAGCAAGGGCAAATAGAGAATAAAATTAATGAGCTTAACTGCATTGAGTTGATGAATATGTTCACACTGGGAAGTTAAGGCTTAAGGCTAGCCTAGTTTTTCAATTTACCAAACGTCTTATATCAATTAGAGTTTGTAGCAAAAGTTGAAATAATTATGAAATAAATAATCGGATTGATTTTAGCATGAATATATAAATATAATCATAATATTTCATCAATCAGAAACCAAGCTTTCTGTCCGCAATTCTGTAATTAAGAAATATGTTTTAATGCTGCCTTACTATGCGATTCTCATGAATTGAATTAAGCCCTATTGGGTTTCATACTTTTATAAATAAAAATTCATTGACACTGTAAATTAGTTTATGTCTTATGCTCTAACTCTACTTCTTTATCAATATCTATCTTTATCTATATTATTTTTATTGTATATATAGCAACATATTTTAAAGCAATTGAGAGCGGAACACGAGTTACTTCCTAGTATTTCATATTGTTTTAATTATATTCATAAAACCCTAGCGCTGACTTCTCCAACAGTTATTTAATTATCTTATTACCTTACAGAAGTTCTGTCTGACAAACTAGAAGCGTTTTCCATTCCAGCATAATTGAATTATTTACCTTGACTGACACCTAGACGCCAACTGTTTTAGGCTAATATTTTCATCAAGCACATCTATGCAAATATTATTTAAAGGCTACGCCTTATAGAACCCACCGTTCCACCCAAAAATGTCGTAGAATACCCACTGGAATCTTGTCAGAACGCGAAGCACGCCCCGAACGAGAAATGTCGTCGACTGTTTTACGATAAGTATGATTGATAGAAGGATGGCGAGCTGTTACCTACCTTCACAATCGCCATGCATGATGGGTATATCGCCACGCTCCACATCCGTAGGTATTTCCTGCTGACGCTGATCGACGCCATCCCGGGCCAGAGTTGGCTCATGGTACCAATTGCTGCGCACATCGCGTTTCTTGTTCTTCTCTGTAAGATTGGCAGAACAGAGAAAAGTGGGCTGTATGGAACGTCCTACTGGGCACAGACTGTCTGACCGATAACTTACCACGCTCGGAGATCTTGTTCCGCAGCATGCGTCGATTGCCCCGACGATGGAGACCCTTTTGACAATTGGCACGCTGCAGCGAGTGTTCCATGTCTGCATCAAAGTGCAGTGGATATTTGCGTTCCCTAAACTGTAAAAATATTAAATAAAAATTAGTCCACCCATCGGCACTGTAAGGGACTGATCCAACACTTACCAGCTTAATCACTGGATCATCCATTTGGGTATACAGCTTGGACAGGCTCATGTCAATCTCGTGGAAAGTGCTCGGCTTGCAGTCCACATGGAGTGTAATGCGATTCTTCGAGAACTGCAGGGCCAACGATCGTATGGTGCTCGTCTCATTTATGTTGGGTATCTCAAAGTTGCGTGACTCTGTCGCCCCATTGGCGCTTATGTCCAGCGTAACGCGCTGCTGCTTGCGGTCCAGGAAGAAGGACATCTTATGCTTCAGCATGGGAAAGTCGATCATGAACAGCGCCTCAATGGATATATGCAGCTTGCGTCGGGGTCTGTTTAACATGGGAATGTCGTTTAGATGTGCCACAACCGGCTTGAACATGTGCTCAACATTTCAAGGTTTGTTTATTTACCTTATGTGACGCGTAGAAATGACCACATCTCCTTTCCTGATAAACTGTTCCAGCTCAGCAGAGGCAACTGTGGGTGAAAAATAAATAAATAGAGTAGAGTTTAAGTAATAAAGGTTTTTTCCGAGGTCAAGTGTACATCATATTTGTAGGTCTTGTTGTACGTCAAAATAATTAAGGAATGGAATTCATTTTCTAACCACATTCATTATATAATTTTTTTTGTTTACTTGGGCAATCTCTACAGGAGAAATCTCTTCAGACTTTTATTTTTTTTTATAAATAAGGGCCAATACTCAGCTATATTTTTCTTTAACTTTTGGTATATTCTTGTGTATCTATTATTAATCTCATCCGGATCAATTCTCACACTTTGTAAATATGAGTTTGTGGAACTGCTAGCCTAGATAAACTTCCGTTTTGCTAGTGATAACACATATCGATTACAAGATCAACACAATATACAAACCCCAGAAGACTAAATCAAACAATGCCTCCCGACCATGTTGGCTAATCCTCCGCACAAATGTTGCGGCACTTGCTCGGTTTGCTGGCAGCTGACACAACGGCAATCGGTTTTCGCGCCTGGCAGAGATTACAACACTTGGCGGTGTTTATTTTGGTCATAATAATCCCGTTCGCATGTTAACCCAAAATGAAAAGCAGAAAACTAAAGTGAAAAGTGGAAAGAGCTCCGCGACTTTGCACAATCCAAATATGTAAAGCCGTCAAATGGAATTTATCAAGAGACTTCAGACCATGCAAAGACGTAGAATTTCACGCATTTGTGCAGCGATTTGTCATCTGTGTGGGAGAGCAGAGCTCTGACAGAGCCCAACTGAGGTGACCTTCACGATATCGTGCCACACTCGACGCTCCACAAGGCGATCGGAATTGCAATTGCAACGTGGTCAGCTCGTGATCGGGCAACGCCAACGCCATTTACGGTGCACTGAGGTCGACTGCATGTGTGCAACTGCAACAACAACAACAACTGCAACAACAACAACTGACAGCGTTTTGATGCCTGCTTGGGCATTTGGTTTTTTTTGTTGTTTTCTCGATTTACATAAATCGCCGCTTGTGAGTTGATTTTGGGCGATGTCCGAACTGTTTGGCAAATATTTGACTGCGTTTATCGCGCATGTTTGTCCATAAATACAACGGTAAACATAGTGAACCAACTCTGGCAGCGAGCGGCAGAGAGCGGCACCTACCTGGATCCAGTGAGAGTGATGCAACCTCCACAAGTGCCAGCGCCAAGGCGGCCACCAGGCCGATTAGCAACACGCGCGTCCAATTCATCGTCCGATGATGTCGTCTTCCACTTCACTTTGGGCTGATTTGTGCGTTCGTCCGCTGCAGGAAAAGAAGAAGAAGAAAGAAGAAGAACTCAGTCGGTGGTTGTTTATTTGCGTTTAAAAATAAAATGCCCCATAAAATGCATTGCGGCTGCCCCATTAAAACGCATAAAAATAATAAATAAAATTCAAATTAAAATTGTTTTAATGTGCAGGAAAAAAAAGTCGAATTTGCTTCTTTTTTTTTGATGAAATGTTTGCGGCATTTTTAAGATGTCAGCAAGCATTTATCGTTAAAAATGTCCACGCCCCGCTCTGATTTCGTGCCGGAAGTGTTGCTCCGGTATCACCTAGGCGCACATGTGTGCATCTATATATCTTTATATATATCTTTATATATCTTTCATCTGTGCGGCCATCTGTGGGCGTAATAATAAAGCATTTGCTGCTTTAGTTTTTATATTTTCTTCGTTTTTTTCCTAGCCACTTCTATTGGTTTTGAGTTGGCCGAGATTTATGTTGGATTTTTGCAATCATTCTTTCGTCGGCTCGTGTTAGTTAAATAAATGTTTAGTTGATGTGTTTTTGGCATTTGTTTCTTTTATTCTATTTCTCGTGTGAGTCTGTGCTTTTTCAGGTGTGTGTGCCCAGCGGAAGCTGGGTAAAAAAGTTTATGAACAAGGTGGGGATTTGTTTTGTGGCACTTTTAGACTATTGAAGCAGATTTGAATTCGAATCTTATGTGGGATTTCTCATTTTCTCTTTTTATATTAATCAAATATATCAGAATAATACTTTAAGCAGCTGCTACATTAAAACATAAAAATAAACACGCGGACAGTTCGAAAGGTTTTAGTTTTTAGGTCGATAGAAAATGCTTTTAATATTTATTTTACAAATTGTAAAGAAAATATGAAATTATATTTAAGGAGCATATATATAATAATGTTTTTTTTGAAGTTATCAATTTTTATGTTCGTCCATATAATTGATAGAGTATGTTTTTAGACCAAGATATTTTGCAACCCTATGAATTATTTCAATATGAAAATTGATTAAGTTTTCGTTTTCTATATACAGAACAACATAAGAAAATAATCGAAGTTCGAACGAGATATATTTTTAACGAAACTGAAAATCTTGCATCAATTTGCCATCAATCTTATGGTTAATACATCAAAGCGGATATCAGCATTAACTCAATATCTTCCAAACTAAGCATGTATTAGTTAATCTCTCTGCGTAGCCAGCGAATTTCAATTACAAGCCATAAATCCGGCTACTAACTTGCCAACTGTTTATCTTATTGCTCTATTACCACATTCCCAACACTTTCTCCACACTCTTCTGCTCCTGCGCTTCATAAATTAACCCCATGCCGACATGTGCTACCGTCAATTGAAGTAATTTGTTATCGAGCGCTGAAATCTTCAAGTGATCAAAGACTCGAGTGGCACACAACTCTATAACTCCTGGGAGCAACAATTTTCCTCACTAATAAATTGCCGAAAAACACACATAAAATTTAACGATCAACGAAAGAGTTTAAAAAAAATATATACATATTTTGTGTAAATAAGTACGCATTAATTGGCATTTAACTAGCGGCAATCGTAGCAAGAAATAATGCTCTAGCAGGGAGTGCACGACTAGGGTATACCCTTTATTCTAGCTTCCTTCTATGCATACGTATTCATAAATACAGCGACTGTGCTTCTTCTTCTCTTTTACCCATGCTTTGTTGGGAAATGCATTCTTCATTATCTTCGGTGCTTAGAGTCCGATCTCTATGAAATTTTCAGCACTTGCATAAGACATACAATAGTGCGTATATACCAAAGCGCAATAATCTTCGGGATGAAATATTTAAAATCTGTTTATGAATATATAAGAAACTTCATAGCAAGGAGCATATCTCAAAATCGATATATATCGATATTATCAAATTTCGAAAATACATATATTTTAAACTCAAGTCTCTAGCTTTTGAGCTACAGCGATATCGACGCGGACAGACAGCTGGACATGGCTTAGATAAACTCAGCTCGTCGTCTTGGTAAAAAATATATATACTTTATGAGATCGAATGCACAAAGACATTATACCCTTTTTCTCTTTTCCAATAGGTTCAGAATATAAAAATAATCTGGATTACCAGGCAGTTAAAGACAATTTAGAAGTGTGATAAACTACAGTCCGTATAACATATTGAAATAGAATAGATAAAAATCGTAGTCTTCTTGCAGCAGCGCCCATTGGACAATATTCATGCTTAAACACACATTAGAAATGTGAGCAAGTTGCTGGCTAAGCGATCCAGACAGCATCTTGAATCGCTTAACTTGGCTCAAAGGTGTCCCAGGAATGTGGTAACGGTCGAGTCAACAGAAAATGTCGTTATAGCCTTACAAGAGAAGCGCTTCTGCCAATACGGGTCCAAAAACGTGTGAGTGACAGTTATGGATTTATAGTGGCAGTTAGACTGTTGCGACTGTTGTGACTCCGCTGCTGATCTCTCCGCTCAATGTTCTCTCTTCTCTCACTCTTCTCTAGCGGTTCTGGCCAGTTTTCGACACGCTCGCTACAATGTCACTGAGTCAGAGAGCCCGAGAGGCGCAAAACATGTGCCATTTATGGTCGAAATCGCAATTGCCAGAGTTACAACAGACTTTACTGGCTGAGGTGTACTAAAAGTAGCTGCCTTCCGCCAGCCACTTTAATTGAGAGCTTTTTAAAGTAGTTTAAGGTTTTTATGTGGCGTTTGACAGGGTTTATTGAGACTTGGGATTATGTACGTATATTTCTCAGGGATAACTACTCAGCTGGAGCTTGTAACGATAATAAAATAAATTAGCAAAAAATTATTGGAATGAAGATTCTGTCATTGAAGTCAAAATGTAGGGCAAGTTTGGCAAAGGCATGAAATATGAGATTTATGATTGGCTTACACAAAGATTACACGCGGAAAATGCCTTATTCAGAAGCCTTCATTAAAATTGTAAAAAGAAATAAATCTCGCCATTCATAGCATATATTGTTATACATAAATCTTAAGTTTATAATTGATGAACAATCAATCAATTTTTTTTGTTGGATATTTGGGGCTTTTTTGCTTTGGATTTAAATTTGGTATTAATTGCTTAAAATATTCACAAATCTAACTGGAGAATATTGGCAGAGTATATTGAAGTCAAATAATTAAAAGATTTATAGTTGGCCAAATAAAAAGGGAAAGGTCAATGAAATCTTAGCCATGTGTATTTGTGATAGATCACCATAAATATATTATCAAATCTCTATAAAATAAATATGTTAGTTGACAAAACATTTAACTAAGACCTCTAAACCATTTCGTAGCGAATAATATCTAGATAAATTATCTTTACCATTCAGAAAATAATCCCTTTAGCACTTCTTAAGATTAAGCATCTCACTCGTCCCAAAGAATTTCCTTAGTATTAAGGCTTGATGACAGGATTAGATCTGCCGCTCACTGCCGAGTTTTGACGGGTTCCCTAGAACTCAGGTCATGCGCATGGCGTAAAGCTCTTCAGGTGTTCATTGAAACGTATAAATAGACAGTCGAGGTTGCTACCGACTGTTTGACCACATCCGCAAAGAACATTTCCCACCAAATGTCTAACCAAATAATCCCCCCACAATCAACGGGCAACGGCAGTCAAATCAAAAAAGCGACACCAACTCGAAGAACCGAGCAGTAAACTCATAATCCTCGGTCCAAAATTTATTAAATACTTTTTAATGCCTTCGCATAGATCTAGGTGCTCCGAACATAGATCTCTGTCCAGCGCCCACGCAGTCAGCATAAGTCCAAAAAGTCTTCAATAAATGACAGCGCGTCGCCAGAGAGACGCCGCCGCATCAGGTTAATAAAGCGCACAAATCAAAAACAATGATGCTGCGGTTTACATATACACATATATAGAGATATTGTATATACGTATATATATTGATTGACATTTCATTAAGCAGAGTCAAATGCACACGGAAGCCGCAAACGACGACCACAGCACAAACTGTCACCCACTAGGGCCCGGGTTAAATCTTTCGGCTCTAAGTCGTTCGAACAAGTTTGTCGGCATCATGACAAAAGGCGTACCCTGTTTATCATCAGTGGAAATTTGATGCTTATCGGAAAAGATATTCTATCAGATTGAATGTTAACTGGCTGACACCCCAAGCGAGCCCGAACTGGACATACGATAGAGGGCTGCTGCCAAAGTTACGTAATCAAAATACATAAATAAATAATACCTTAAAAAAATATTGATATACTCTTAGAAAACATTGTATAATAATTTCTCATATGTAGAAATTTTAAAAGGAGTTTTTTGTTTATTTACTATCTACTGAATTAAGTAGGAAACACGAATAATTATCGAATTTTATCTCAGAACTATTTTCTGAAATTTATTTTAATGATTGTCGAAATATTTGTATTTAAATAAATATATAATTCAAATATATTTTCTCAAATTAAAGACTTTCCTAAAACTTTTCAAGCTATTAGCTTGCTACAAACTGAATTTAAAAACAAGAATAATCATAGAACATGGCCTTAACAAGTTGGGTAATATCTATAAAAGTCCTAAAACTAAGCCATGTGATGTTCACATCCCAAAACTTGTAGAATAAACTGACAAAAAAAATATTAACTATAATTCCCAAACAGTTACTGAACAAACTACAATATCCAATTCTAGGTCTTTGGAGGAACTTAAAAACTCGAAAAACTTGAACTTTTATTTATGATTTTCAATATAAATTTATAAACCGTTTTCTGGGTGCAACAAACTGCAGCATGTGCATGAGTCATCTCTATTAAATAAAAATTGGAAGAGCCCTCGTATGGCATTAGAAATTCAAATATTTTGACTGTTGCATCGCGCGCTAGCATGCAACATCATGTACCCTGTCCCCCAGGGCGATGAAAACAGCGCGCGCGCGCAAAAAAAAAAAAGAGAGTAAAACAACAAAAATAAAGCGATCGCTGGCTACTGCGCATGCGCCGCTGCTTCTGCAACTCTGGCGCTGTCGCGTGTGGGTAGGACAAGTTTCGCGGCGTCGTCGTCGTCGCCGCAGGCGTCGTGTCACTGAAATCAAATCAGCCGCGTTTAAATGCTCAGCCGAAAACTCAAACTCAAACTCAAACTTCAACTCAGCTGCGGCTGCGGCTCCCAACTTCAACTTCAACGCCAGCTCCAGCCTCCAAGTCTGACTCCAGTTCGAAGCACTGGCAAACCTGCTGTCAGTTGCTGGTTTGACACGGAAAGAAACGACGTCGGCGCCTACGCATCTGTGGACCCGGCCCCAGAGAGACCCAACTAAGACGCTTAGGGAAATTCTTCAACGGATTTTCATTTGCTGCAAAAAACTTTCTTTGGCTTTTGTCTAATATACCATTTTTTTTATATTTATTTTCAGGCCTCGTTGGCTTTAATTGAAAAAAAAAAATCAAACTGAACTCATTTTAAGTCGCCTTCGCCTGATAAATTGGTTTCATTATGGCACGCGCATAATAGATTTTTGTATAACTTCCGCCGCGAATCGAGTGGCATTTATGTATATATACTTTATATAAAAGTGACAAAGATCCCGTCGAGTTCAATAGCACTTGACTTCGACATTACTGTGTTTATGTATTTCTTTCTGCTGCCGTGTCCGTAAAAGATCTATTTGAAATTCGGCTTTTCATGAAAAATGCAGTAGTTGACAGCTGAAAAGTTGAACATTCAGCTATTACACAAACGAATTTAACGCTCTTTTTTTAAGTCTCATTTCATAATATTGAAAGGTCTGTCAATTATATACTATATATGAGTACGGTGCTGATTTTTTGGTATGGTAATTGCCGCTTGCCAAGCGGCTCAATCAAACAACCAACAAAAACACAAAAATCTCGGCTTGTCAGTGGAAATGAGGCGGAAGGTGTCAAATTATTTGAATTTTTTTTCAAATATTAACAAAGACAAAAAATGCTTCACTATATTTGAAATACAAATTCGTTGTAGATAAAATATTACAAGAGTTGTGAAAATATATAAGACAACTTGTAATAGATTGGTTAGCTTAAGACTTCTTCAGATTGGAAATAAAATTATCTAACTTTCTATGCATTGTATTTAAATCTATATAATACAATAAATCAATGTTATATTTGCGTTTGACCAAGATATCTTTAATAATAGAAAAGAGCCCTTAATAAGTTAAATTTGAAACAGATCCTCCCCATGATCACTTTTTCAAATAATTTGTGATATATTAGCCAAGAAGTGTTAAGATTTGATCGAGATCCGTGGGATTGTAAGAAGACAGTTTCTTTCAACGTGCTTTAAACTGATGGTAAAAAAAAAACAAGGGTTCACAAATTATAGCAAAAATAATTTCTATTATTTTCATCTCTAGTTTTCCTTCATATATCTTTCTTCCCAAAATAAAACAATTCTTTCGATCAAGATCAATTTAGGGTACATTACTAGTAAATATATAAAAAACTAGAAAGTAAGGATATCTTTGGTACGACGAATATTTAATACACTTGTAAACATTTACCTTTTGCATATATGTGATAAAAGTGAAGCTCGTAAATGCTGAGTTTGATGAAAATATCCTAGAAAGCAGAATATTTTGCCATACAAGCACTTACTTATCGATCGATCGTTTTTATGGACCAGACGGACATGGCTATATCAACTCGGATGTGGATGCTGATATAGGAAATTTAACCTTTTTAAGTCGAAAATGTCTCCTATGCGTTACATATTTCACGACAAAATTATAATACTCTCTACAAGAGTATAAAACTAATGCCTGCATCTATAAAATTTAACAAATTTTAACATGTCATTCAATTTTTTCAACAAAAAGTAAACAATCAAATATCATTCTAAAGTCCATAGCAGCAATAAACAAAACCCAAACAAATTATTATGCCATAAATAACAATAGAAAATGTCACATATATGGCTGCTATATAATCACGTGATTATCTAAGCTACCTAAGCCACACCCAGTTAGTTTTTGAAGCTGCTTCTCGATTTGCATTTCTGCGCAAAATATCAAAAATTACAATTCAGTTAACACCAAACCGCAAAATGTTATGCCTAAAGGCTTTAAATCCCATCAACTGGCTATAAATGATATTTTAAGCATCTGAATTGGCGCCATAATTCCTAAATCCATATATATACAATACATGGCTTAAGAGATGTGTTTTGAAAACCTGTCAAAACTGTTTAGAATATGTTTAAGCTGTAATTAAGCCAAAAAAGAAAAAGAAAAAACGAAAAGCTATTAACTTATTTTGATGAACCATTAAAAAGAAGTTTCGTTTCAGACGAACTTGAATCACATTTGACGCCGTCGCTGGTCCAAGCTAAAAAGTTTGGGGGTTTTTTAATGTGCTGTGAGTTGAGATTTGAATTGCAAATTTGATTTGGTGCCGAAATGCAGTCAATACAAAGCATTAAAAATTTGTAAACCTAATTCGGACTAAGGCCTGAATCAGCAGCCAACAACAAATGATGCGACGACTTTTTCCTCGGATGATGCGCTAATTTGTTGCCACAATTTTCCAGTTGATTTGCATTTGTTTATAAACTCATAACTTGAACAAATGCTGGCTAGCGGAAATTTCATTAAAAGCAATATTATTTATGTTTTAATAATGCCACAGTTACCAGGCCATATATGGCCCGCTGCTGTATAATACAGCGCCAACCACAATGTGTAATATATTCAAAAAGATCAAATAAGCAGCCAACCAAAGACTGAGACATCGTCGAGGCAGTTATAAATTGTTATGGTAATGTTTTCAGTGGGCGTCTTATAATTGAATTGGCTGAAGCAGCAGCGGCAGCACACGGCCACAAATGTTGAAATCAAATAAATATATTATCTATACACATTATAAACTGACTGACTAACTCGAACTAATCATTTCTCAAACTCATTAAAAAACCTGCTCGTTATAAAATGAGAATTAAGTCTTTTATCGACTATCAAAAGTCCAGCTCATATGCGAAAAATTGGCGAAAAACTGTTGAAGTTTGAATATTTTAACGTGATTTAGCAAAAATCTAGTCCAGGGGTTCAAAGTAGTAGGGGAAGATTTAAATCGTAGACGAGCGAAAAATGGTTGGCATCTAAAATTTATACATAAACAACGTCGTCAACGTTTTCCTGATACCAAACGCATGCCAGGTTAATATAACATTTAAATGTCGCCTTACTATGCGATTCTCATGAATTCAAATAAGACCTACTATGCCTGTTAAATTATCAAAGTGTGCTGCCTATCTACAACATTTTATCTGTGTAGCCTAGTTTGCGCTCCTGCACTCTCTCGATTAATTTCTGTTACTCCTAAATTTACTCCAATCCGCCTGCTTCTTCGTTCTTTTAATGAAGTGTTTATATAAACACGGAGTATCTCCTAGCACAACAAAAAAGGCTTGGAACATGGCCGATTATGGTCAGCTTATGTCCAGCATTCAAGCGAAACAGAGTGGAAAAAAATTGCGACCAAAATAGGAAATGCCAAACAAATTGTGAATGCTTTAACATATTTTAACATAGCTGACAATTAAATTATTTATTCCTTTCGGACTTTAATTTGTTCTCAGCTTGGCTGAAAACATTTTAATAATGCTGTAATATACGACTCATAAACTTCAGCCTGCTTTTAATATGTGTGGAAAGTCTGGTAATTAATAGATTATGACTAGACTCTGGTATTTATGGCGCCAATGCAGATAAGACTAGAGATCTCCAGATTAATGTGCAAACGTTGTGGCCAGCAGCCTATAGCCAAAATGGGTGTGTCTAATTAATATGTATCGATAGTATTTGAATTACAACAACAATTAGCATGATTTATTAAAAGATATGAAGGCGGTGAAATGGAGTTTTCTTGAGCCGCATAAATATATGCATAAATTGGTCAATTAATATGGCTGAAATTGCAGGAATCCGTAAGCTAAACAAAATATGAATTATTAAACTAGAAAAGGTATAATAATATTCAATTAAAGAGACAATGAGAAATGGTATGCGTGCGTTTTATATAGTTATGTATATAATGTATACGATGCGTTGAGCAAAGGAAAGATTTAAATTTGTTGGTAAAATTGAAGTTTAGGACACAAATAGTATATCTTAATATTTAATCAATGGAGTTAAGTGGAAAAACTTGTATCTTTTTATTATTATATGACTCCCAAATACACGTTTAAGGACCAATTTATTGACATTTTCTTTAGATAAATGTTATTTAACTCAATTTAATTTTGCCTGCATTTTACATTCCCATATGACGGAGGCATGTCTTCTGCAGCCAGAAGGAATGCCCCATTTAACTCACATAGGGTTGGACAAAGGAAGGATTTAAATTTGTTGATGAAATTGAAATTTAGGACACAGGTAATATATATATATATATATATATTGATATTTAATCAATGGAATTAAGTAAGTAGAATAACTAAGCTGTTAATAGCTCTTATTATGTGTCTCCCAAATATATGTTTAAGGAAAATTTTTTAGAAAAATGTTATTTAACTCAATTTAATTTTGCCTGCATTTTACATTCCTATATGACAGGGGCATGCCTTCTGCTGCCCCATTTAACCCACTTAGCAGCGCTTTTGTAGCCTTCACACTCACCTCTATGTCAAGGACGTTGCACGCCAACGTTGTTGCCGCTGTTTGCGATTGGCCACTTGGGCTTTCAACAGAGCTCTGTGGCAGCTTCTTAGTCGCACTTATTTAAGACAGCTCCTTGAGCTTCTGCCACTTGTGGCTGTCAACGCGGTATTTAGTATAACAACAACTTAAGTTAGTTTTATGGATGTTGCCACACTTTCCCAACTTCTTTTATGTACGTTTTGGATTATTTAATTTAATTTTAATTTTTTTTTTGGTTGTATTTATGCACTGTTGCAAGATCAAACAAATCGCATTGAAGGCTCCTCACACTATATGAAACGATAATAAAACGGATGTATTAAACTTTAAAACCCTTTTCAAGAGACGACAAACATAAACAAGAAAACACACGCACACAAACACAAACAACACACGCGAAAGAAAAGATCTCCCCGATTGATTTTATTAGAACGAAACGGCACACGCGACGGCGACGGCGACGACGACGTTGGCGATGGCGATGGACGATCCTCCAGCGAAGGCAACGGTTGTACAACTGAACGCGGACCTGTGGCTGCTGCTGTCGTGTAGGCAGTCCGCCGAGGCAGGCCGTCCGGTGTTCGTGCTAATAAAAATTAAAACACTTTTATGCTATTAACAACAAGAACGCGAACCGAAGGCGAAATGGAAATGATGCTCAGTGGGGCTGGCAACGCCGCGGCGTCTGTCGAAATGCGACGCGGTGACAATTAAACAGGCGTTCGCCTCTGTTGTTATTTGTGTAATAATTATTTCAATAACAACAACAAACGAGCCACACTAAAAGCCGTCATAGATCACGATCACAGGAAAACGCACGCGTCTTTAATGATGCTCGCGCGTCAGTTTACCGTTTACCTCAGCTACATGTACCGTCGTGTTCAACGTGCAAACGCACACTGAAGGGTAACAGTCGCGACAGCGACATCAAAAGCACCAGCACCAGAAGCAGCGGCAGCGGCATCGGCAGCGCTGTAAGCAGCGTGAGCAGCAACAGTTGTTGCAGTCGTCGTCGCTGCCTGGTTGCAGTTTGTTTTGTTCTCAGCTGCTGCTGCTGCCGTTGTTGTTGTTGTTGCTGCTGCTGGCTGCTGCGGTGTTGTTGCTGCTGCTGGCTGCTGCGGTGTTGCTGGCTGATGATGTTGCTGTTGTTGTTAACTTGTTGCCGTTTGTGTTGTGGTGTAGTTGTTGTTGTTGGGAGAAACGCGTTCAGCAGAGCAGCCGCAGTCGATAGCATTTTGTCTTCGTTTGTGTTTTTCTTTTGACGCGTGAGTAAGCTAAGACGCCCACGTGCAGATTTGCGTAAAGCGAGACTAGCGTTGCCAGATTGTTGATAACTTGTTTTGAGCGGTTCATCGTATGTATGTGTGTGTTAGTAAAAGCAAATACATCGAACATTATGAATTGATCGATAGCTAATTTGTGTAACACAACTGTGAATCAAATTTAAACAGTTATGTTACAAACAAACGAATACTTACGCTTTCTTCGGAGTAACAAATACGGGTTATGCATGCTGATCTGGCCATGACCTGTATATTGCTAAGTGCAGTATTTATTGGTATATTCAATGCTAATATGTAGATGTTATTATCCACCATTTACTATGCTATTAAGCAGCAAGTTAGACCAATAAAGTTTACTCTTATTTTGAAAACGAAACCCTGGGCCAAACCAACAATGTTGCCCTTGCTCGTAAACCACATTTACACTGAACACGCTCTGAACCCTTTTTATGCGTTCAGCCTTGCCACATTCCACACATATCCCGGCCAGAGCACGAAATTTTAAAGGCTGGGCACTTTAAAAATGCCCTGAAATGGAGCTCATAAAACTGGCACGAACTCTGCAATCATTAAAAGCCAACAACCAAAACACTCGTTAAAACTAGCCCCCCAAAAACAAAAATGTGATATGTGCATGTGGCACCTATTAATGGCTACTTATGCAGTACAAGTGTTGTTGTCCCCTCCACTTCCTGGACGCCCCCAATCAAAGTGACAACCAAACTGATGCGTAACACGTCAGTAGCCAGATCTTCAGATCTTCCGATGTGCGACCAGTTTATCATTATGTCGCCAGCATGTCAAGCCCTCGCCTGGCCTGGTCATAATGCATATATCATGGCGCTATATAGCGCACACCCAGTTCCAGTCGGCGGATTCCCAGCGTCGTCAGCATCATCATCATCATCATCATCATCAACATTAACATCATCATCATCATCGTCGCTGCATATTTTGCCTGCTTGTTTGCTGCATTTTTGGACACGACGACCACTTGCTGAAATTTCATTATGTGCGTGATTTATAAATAAGCGGATCGTTCAGGTCGGTTGCCGTTGTTGTTGTTGTTGCTGTTCCCAGCATCATCATCAGCGGGAACGACCCACGCACTTTGGCGGCGCTACAACGCAGCTTGCATGTTGACTACCCTGGTTGTTGCTGTTGTTGTTGTTGTTGCAGTTCATTTCGTATTAATCATAAAATTGTATTATTAACATGTTTATTTTTCGATCTTCAAGTTTCGATTACAAGCATTCCTCCGTTTATTGTTTGTGTGTGGAGTGTGTACCTTGTGAACGTGACTTTGTTGTGCAGTGTAACGAAAGTGAGCCACTTTCTAACACTGCCCAGTCTTTTATTGAGCCACTCTCAATCTGCTCGCAGTGGCAACAGTTAAAAATGTCGCAGAGGATCGCGCGTGGGCGTCAGTCCAATAAGAAGCCGAGTGCGTTATGACAGTTGTAAATACTTCGATCAACGAATGAATGAAAAGAGAAGGTCTCGACTTGTTGGGGGAAACGCAACAACTATGTTTAGACTATAAGACAAATTATAATTGCAAAAATTGATTGTGGAAATAACCAAAGAGTGAAAAATAGGCTGGGGTTGTCTTTTGAATCTAAAAACCGCACCTTAAACCGAATTAGTTGGATAAAGATAGGTCGAAAGATCAAACGATGAAAAAAAACTAAAATAATTTTTGGTTCTTTGAAAATATGAAAAGCTTTTGACATTGTGATAAACATCATTTTAGTACTATAATGTAAAGAAAAAACTAATATCAATAATTAAAAACATGTAAATATTCTAATTAATCCAATATAGAGTAAATTAAACCGTTTTATTGAAATGGGAGGAAATGTGACGAACCAAGTTTCGAACCTTAGCCTGGTTTCACAGATGTGGAAAACCAGGTTCACGAAACGAAACTTTTTTAAATATTCTTTCAGTTAGAGCGCTTCTCAAAAACAATCTCTTAAAGTATTGGAACTTCTATTTTTTAATATCAGCCCTATTTTTGTTTACTTACAACATCCCAAACACTTGCCCGGCCAACGAATAGAAAACTAGTTAAAGGTCAAATTCGAGAGCTGCCCTGAAACGGAACAAGTTTTCTATTCATCGCATATCTATGTCTAATAAATATTTAAACACACACGACTATATAATTAACGTCATCGCGGGCTATAAAGCAGATGATTAACACCGTCTTTATAAAAATAAAATATAAGACCCAATGCAAATAAAGCGAGGGGCCTATGGTTATGACTAGGGTGTAGCTAGATCTGGTCATTAATTACACATGTTGTCAATTGTTGTTGTTCGTTATTTTCTATAATTTTACATATGATATTCTGTTTTATGAATAAATTAATTTAAATTAAGCAATAAGCCAACTAACTAGAGTATCTAATATTACGCGCTATTACGTCTTAAGCGTATTGTTTGATAGTTTTTTTTTTTCAAACATTCAAACATTTAACGGCCTAGACCAAAATATATTTTTGATCTGCTCTGGCATATTTGTTGTGATTAACATTTTAATCTGTAACTTAAATGCAAAGAAAAAAACTCGCAAGCAAATTAAATAAGCCTTTTGTTCCGAGCCGCATCAAGAAAAATAAAACGGTAGCAACTCTTAATTAAGTCGTTTCCGCTGTCGATTCGAGTTGTCATTGAATCTACTTGCCAGATACCCTGTACTTTATGTCTTCTCCACACTAGCCACTTCAATGGAGTCGCCACAACTGTAAGTACACACACACACACACACACACACACATTTGATTATTTAGTCTTCGGGACTGCGCAATGTTGTTGATGAGTTCACACAGAATGATATATGAATGTTTTAGGTGGCTTCGAGGTGTCAGTTGAAGATTAGCATAGGCGAACTTTTGGGTGGGGTGAATGTGGCTAACCAAGGTCAGCAAATAAAACAGATACCCGATTAAATGGAGATTCCCTTTTGGGTGCCATGAAGATTATGATTAAATGAGGCTTATATTAATGAAGACTAGATCCCTATCACCTTACGCATTAAATTAATTTATCTATTAACTGCAGGTATTCATTTTCCACTCTCTGGACTTTACAATATTGAAAAGATGCAAAATGGTTACTATTGTTAAGCTGAACGTTAAAAACGAACTTGAGGGCATTTTATTTTAATTTGATTACAAATTTAAGCCCAAATTGTAATTTGACGCTAAGCATAAAGATTTTATTTAACAATTTTTTTGTTGATATATTTTGATAATTAGGATATCAAATTAAAAACGAAAAGACTCTAAACTCCAATTGCTTTAACGAGCCGTAAAATTTGATAGATCACAAATTTCTGCACAAAATGCAATCTTTAATAACTTAGATACGAAATTCAAATGGGCTTCAAATAAAAATGATCCAGCAATTAAAAATAAAAGCAATATAGACGATGGTACAAACTTTAAAAATCTATAACGTCGCAAAAGCGAAATAAATAAAAATGAAACATCTCCGTAAAGTGTTAATATTACTGAGTCGTTATGGTCATGTCTGTTTTCATGTTCCCATGGAAACTAGTCTCTCAGTTTAAAAGATATCTGCATTGGAACCGACCAGATCGGATCACTATATTATATAGTTGCCATAGAAAATAAGCTTTTCGTGTTTACAACGTTTTTATTTTTAAAAATACCTTGACCAAGACTCAGCATTTATAATGTGCACTGTGCTCTATACGCGTAAGCAGATCTCGGAGTACTTTATCAGAATACTATATCGGAGTACTATATCATAATGCACTAAATGAAGGAAGGTATGAACGAAGCAAGAATGAAAAATGATTTTTCTTTAGGAAAACCTTTCAGTTCTTCAAGATATCCTGACCAAAACTCAGCAACTACAAGCTTGACTAGACTCCTAACAAATCCGTAAGACTATATGAAATCGGACTACTTTATTGTAGTAGGAACAATCCATCAAAAGTAAGACCTTAAAGCCAAATGTCCACAAGGGTATTTCAACTGCGGCGTGCCAAAAAATAGCAGTTCCTTCTTCTTTATAATTGCAACAGAATTCGTGTTGTGGAACCCATATAACCCATTAACCCCATGCCTGGGCAGCCCCGGAGGCTGACCACAAATTCACTTTCCCATTGTGGTTAAAAATTAAGCGCACCACGCAACTAGCAGCTAGCGTGGTCGGCGAATTTAGACCGCAACATAAAACCCCACAATTTATGCCGACAACTGTGCGAAAAGCTAAATGAAAAGTGAAGTTGATGATGGGGGACGACACAAAAAGGTAAAACGGCAGCGAGACAACATTACTTGAGGCAAATGATGGGCGTCTTGGGCTGTTTGGGCGTCTGCTCCTGGCACTTGACGGTGACAACACTGACGCTGACGTCGTCGTCGTTTACATCCAGCGGGGCGGCGGGGGGTGCTGCGGCAACCGGAGACGGACTGTCGCCGGCAGCACCATTTGTCTTCAGGCGCACCACATGCGCCAGCTTTGTGGTGGCCGCCACTGCAGCAGCCATCACGTTGCCGTTGCCATTGGGCAACGTGCTGATAGGCTTCTGCAGCAGCTGATTGGAGGAGTCCAAGCGATTCGATAGCGAGGTGTGGCGATTGTTAACCGACTAAAATTTGTAAAACAGCTTAAAGAGTTGCCTTAAAAAAATGCCCTGCAAGTCAAAGTTTCGGATACTCGAAAAATTACTGAGTCGAGTCAATACTCAACAATTTTCGGCTCGAGCTGTTCGAGTTGCAGACAAGAAAATGTAATTGGTTTGCTCGAACATGTTCGACTGACTGACTCGAGCAGGTCGAACTTGGTTTGTATGAATATCTTTTGGTTTGGTAAATCGTTATTTTTGTTAAATAGATCGAGTATCCGAGTTTGATGCAAATTAATTAACCGAAAAAACTATCATAAATATATATATGCGCGACTTTCTGTTCATAATCTAACATAAAATTGCAAACTTCAAACTCACCACATTGTTGTTGTTGTTCATGCGACCACGAATATTGTACAGGCCATAGACCAAGGGATTCATGCAGGAATTCGTTGAGGCGAATATAAACAGGGCCTTGCGCACCAAAGAATTCACTTTATCCACCGACGTCTTATCCAATGAATACCACATGCATATAAAGTAGTACGGAGTCCAGCAGATGATGAACACAATCACAATCGATATGGTCATCTTGAGTGTACGCTTCTTGGCCCGACTCAAGACGTCGTCGTTGGAGCGACGAAAGCGTTCCGCAATGACATCCTTATGCACGCGCTGATTTTTGCGATAGATCTCCAGATAGATGGCACCATAGCAGTAAATGAAAGCGATCAAAGGAAACGCGTACATGGCACACATTGTCGCGATCTGATACAGCCAGTTGTCAAATTCGCTCACAAACGAATGAAAGGTGACGCATTGAAAGTAGCCTTTAACGATCGGATGCTCCTCCAGATGGAAGAGAAAGGCCTGCAACAAGAACGACATTAATTGGTTGACTACTGTGTTAGGTGAGGGGAACGACCCACCTGTGGAATGCTGCATATGACGGAGCCCAGCCAGGCGCAGGCCAACATGATACGACCACGATTGTAGGATCGTTGCAGTGGCTTCAGGATGGCATAATATCTGCAATGGTAGCGACAGAGAGAGAGAGAGAGCAGGAAAACCAAAATGTTAGGCAAACGATTGACACTTTGTCTGTGTGTGTGTGTGTGTGTGTGTGTGTGTGTGTGTGTGTGTGTGTGTCGCCTTATCTGGCTATCAATTTGGTCCATTAGCGACAGTCACCAACGACGTCAACTCACCTGTCCAGCGATATACACACCATGACAAAGCTCGACAGGTACAGTCCGAAGACGCGAAAGAAGCTCATGAGACGGCACATCAGATCCGTGGAGCGCCACTGCACAGTCCAGGCCCACGCAATCTCGAGCGGCATCAGCAGCAGCGTCACCATTAGATCGGCAATGGCCAAATGCATTAGCATGATGTCAATACGCAAGGGACCTCGCAATCGACGCTTGGTCAGCAGATAGAGTACTGTGCTATTCCCAATTGTTGAGATCACAAAGAGTATGCTGCAGAATGGAAAAAAGGTTGTGCCGATTAATCCGCTTGGATAAGGCAGCCAGCAGTGGGTGACGGTGCGTAGGTGCATTCAGTTTGATAAGTGGGTCATTGGGAGATTGAACGGATCAGCGAAATGAGCTGCAGTTGAGGAAGTTTTAGAGAAGCTAATAAAGAGTCGCAGGCACTTTGGAATATCGTAATATTTATACCCTTTATCAGAAGGCAAGAGACTCAAAAAGCATTCATATCCATGCTTATCCATACTGCAAGTTATGGGCAAATACTTATACTCAAACTCCTAGTCGTACTCGTTGTTTTACTCATACTCATACACATACTCATACTCATACTCATACTCATACTCATACTCATACTCATACTCATACTCATACTCATACTCATACTCATACTCATACTCATACTCATACTCATACTCATACTCATACTCATACTCATACTCATACTCATACTCATACTCATACTCATACTCATACTCATACTCATACTCATACTCATACTCATACTCATACTCATACTCATACTCATACTCATACTCATACTCATACTCATACTCATACTCATACTCATACTCATACTCATACTCATACTCATACTCATACTCATACTCACACTCATACTCATACTCATACTCATACTCATACTGAAACTCATACTCATACTCATACTCATACTCATACTCATACTCATACTCATACTCATACTCATACTCATACTCATACTCATACTCATTCTCATTCTCATTCTCATTTTCATACTCATACTCATACTCATACTCATACTCATACTCATACTCATACTCATACTCATACTCATACTCATACTCATACTCATACTCATACTCATACTCATACTCATACTCATACTCATACTCATACTCATACTCATACTCATACTCATACTCATACTCATACTCATACTCATACTCATACTCATACTCATACTCATACTCATACTCATACTCATACTCATACTCATACTCATACTCATACTCATACTCATACTCATACTCATACTCATACTCATACTCATACTCATACTCATACTCATACTCATACTCATACTCATACTCATACTCATACTCATACTCATACTCATACTCATACTCATACTCATACTCATACTCATACTCATACTCATACTCATATTCATACTCATACTCATACTCATACTCATACTCATACTCATACTCATATTAATTCAATTTCATATTCACATCATTTTGACCTATTGATAGAATTGCAAATGAATCCTTTCTAAAGAAAAGCTCAGAAAATGAATTAATTCAAGTATCCAAAAATTCATGTTCACGAATTATTAGCTGGTTTTTGTTAGTTAAATCATATAGGGTATTTGCTAGTCTAACAACAATGAATACAAAATATTTACTGAGTTTAACAAGCATAACGATTTTTCCATAAAATGCGAAAACGATTTCACGACATGACTCCAAACGCCCCGCTATATTCATAGCTGAAACTTCACGTCGGCCAACTTAATGTACACATAAAAATTTTCAAATACAAAATGCAAAAAATTGTTGTAGTTAAATAAGATTTTTCAAAAATCTCTGAACATATCGGAATTATTGTAGAATAAAAAATATATATATATATATATAAATATATATCATATCATAGATCATTGAATGGCATTCCATTAATTATAATTGAATTCCGCTTTAATTTTTGACCTATATTTTAGAGTCATAATTGTTGCTTATAAGACATACAAGCTCAATCACCTTTCTGGTCTGATTAAGGGGCAAATAGTTGTTGCTAAATTCAGAAACCTTAATGATTCGCTTATCACAAGTTATATTATTTCTATTTAAATAAGTTAACTTTCTGATTTCCTGAATGTCTGATCTATATTTTGAATATGTTTGATGCTTATCGCGAATGCCATAAAATCACTAATCTAAATAATTCAACACCCGCAACGATAAACACATATTTGAACAACTAAAAATCATTTTATTTATAAAAAAATAAAATAAAATCAATTTCTGAAAACTACAGAGCACTTTCTACGGGCTTCTTAGTCAGTTTTGTGCACGTCAATCAGCTAAAAAGATCTCTGTAAATTTCGAATCACTCTATTAAAGTGAACCCTACGCTGAACCACAGCGTTCAAATTCCAAGTGAAAATTATGAAAAAAAAAACACATCTCAGACAGATAGACATGAGCACGACATGATTTATACTTATTTATAACCACATTCACACCTACACAGCGACTGATAAGTTTAGAAAAGTCGCTGCTTATCAGCGTGACTGTGAATGTGAATGTAACTGTGACTGTGAATGTGAATAGCAAAGTGCAACAAAGCTGGCTGGGGAAAAAATGTGTGGGTGATCTGACATGGTGTGGGTGAGTGTAGGAAGTCGCTTCGCTTTTCCCCACACACAAGCATGTATATAAATGTGTATGTGTATATTCGTGTGTTTCTCGCACTCACCTGTAGACGGTGATGGACAGACGATGGCCATCATTGAATATCATATCCTTGGACAAATGCATTGTACCATTCGTATTATTCACATTTGACCAATCACGCAAAATACGATGATCATAAACACCCTCATTCACTTCCCCCGACTGGGCCATTTTCCCAGCTCGATTCTCTATTTGCTCGCGAATCTTCCCCAACAGAGAAGGCGCACGTGATAATTCCAAATAAACAGATTTCAGTTATTTCACTTTATGCGGTGAATCCTATTAATTCGATTGATTGGTGAACAATTAAATAAATTATTATTATTATACTTTGGCAGCTACTTTAAACATTTTAGTTAAATGCTACAAAAAAATTACTAAATTGTTTTTTTATTTTACTGCGTGGCCAGAATCAGTTTTAATACAACAATTTTTGGCTGTTTATTTTCAGTACCCAAGCGCAAAACATAAACGGAAATAATTAATAACAAACTTTAATGCTTGTATGTCAATAATAAATGTTTAGCATAGCGCATTAAGATTGTACTCTGTGAATTGTTTGCATTCTTTTATAAGGAAAATTGCTAAAATTATGAGAAGTATATATATATACCCTACTAGAGGGTATTTCAATTTAGTCAGGAAATTTGTGACACATAGAAGAAGACATCTTCAATCCCTTCAAGTATATATATTCTTGGTTCGAGTCGATCTAGCCACGATTCTTAATCTATCTGTATGTATGAAAGCGTCGAGACTATAAAAGGACAAGGGTTGAATCCTTAAACGTAGCTCCTTCTATTTCTATCTAATTTGTATCAAATCGATAACTTGACTCATTTTCGTGAAATCGATACAAATCGATATTGAAATACTTTCTTTCGAGCATATATCTAAGCATATAAGAGCTAGAGACATCAGACTTTATATTTAGATGCTCGTATAGTTTAAACAGATCCTAAATATTTTGTGTTTTGGAGACCTTCCTCTGTTGCATCATTTGTATCAAACATTTTGGAAGGAATAGTTTTGGGCTTTAGTATGCACACACATATCAGTGTCATATTTATGCACTTAAAACTTCATAAAGATCGGACAACAAGCACCGAAGTTATTTGAGAAAGCATTACACATAGTGTGAGGCTAGGGATAGGAGAAGCTGGCGTGCTTGTGTGTAGAGGTGTGTATATACTATGTATGGAGGACAGTGTATATATTTGTATTCGCAACTCGTCGCTGGGTTGAGGGTATCTCTTAGTAGGGCATTCCCAACTAGAGCACACTTGTTAATTAATGTAAAAACCAAGTGTAAATATTTCAAATAGATAGTATAGAAACCAATGACGTTTTTTTTTGGCTTTATTTGAGCAGCGTATTTTGCTGGAGGGCCTGTCATTAAGGACGGCTTAATGAAACTCTTACACTTGATTGAACGCGATTGCTTAATGGGTAATGCACATAATATTTGTATTATCGTTTTGTTTATTTGTTATTATTATTTTGCGTTCCAGCAAATTAGCTGTGTTTTTCATCACGCTCGACCGCCAGCCTTGCGTGATAATCACAAAAACAGAAACTGAAACAAACTCAAAAGATGCCCGTACGGCTGTGCCTTATTACGCCCTATGGATGGGTCTAAGGAGCTCCTGGAAAGCCCTGGACAAACTCACGCTCAGCTCAATTCGATTAATTAATCTCACTCGTTTGCCCGCTGTGTTGGGTCTATTTTGTTGTTTGTTTGTTTTTCTTTTTCATGTTCATTACTTTTTTAATAGGTTTAGGAACATTTTGTATTATTGTTTGATTTGATTTGGGTTTGCATTTAAAATTATGACCTTGAACGAATTTTTACTCTCTTAAAATAATAATATTGTTGGAATATTTTTTGTGATGTGATAATAAAAATTCCACTCATGCTGCGTGCGAGTCTTTCGTAATGAATAATCCTCTCTCAGGCTGGTTCTCGGCAACCGTGCGGCTTAATAATCTTTTAATCAATCGCGCTCAATGGGGCAGACACTCACTCAATCGAGGGGGCAACAACAATAACGCCATTATAGATAATGAACAACAACAACAATCAATGCGTCTCAGTGCATTAATCCTTGAGCATGCTCATCAAAAACTTGTTGTAGTACACAAATTAATTGTTTATTTATTTAATCGCTCGATGTTTCGTTGGCTTTTGAACTTTTAGTTTCTGTTTTGCTATTTTTTTGTTAAAGGCAGAGATAAATAATAGGTAGACATTCAGGGGGCTCGACGCTCGAAATCGTGCAATTAAAAAATAATCATGAACCGGATGGTTAAACTAATTAAAAAAATATCTTGTGTTGTGTAGAACCTAGCTATAAATTCTGTTCACATTTAAACAAATATGCAATTGCAGTTTTCTTGGTAATTACAAATTAGATTGTATTCCCTATTGCTTAAACTGTTATTCAACACTGTTGTGTGGCCGTTATTGGCCTGTTAGCTAAGCAAGCAAACAATTCACCTATTTAATCATTGATTACGTCTAACGCTATTTATTCGACTGCTCAGGCTTTTTTATTTCCGTTTTGTTTTGCGTTTTCTAAACACGCGCGCGCACCGTGTACTAGAATATATTGTGCATGTGTATACACATATAAACAAATATGCATGAATGTATTAGTGTGTGAGTGTGTGCAAGATCTGATTATTTGCACACCTCACGCACTAACACCAGCAGAACGGCCAGCGGAACGCGATCGGCAGCTTACAACACTGGCAGCCAACCAGCCAAACGCACACACCCGTAATCGTACACGTACAAGCGTGATGTTATCGATATTTCATCTGATTCCCGGCGCTGTAACTAGCTGTACTCGGACTCGTATTTGCACCGTGCGGCGTACAGGAACTGACTGAAATGGCTGGGCGGCTGCTGGGGCAGCTGATGCTGCCGCCGTGAAATCGAAATCTCGACAACAACTGATAATCTTATATGAAAAAAAAAAAAAACTGTATGCGACACAGCTGGCGCTCCTATATGTGCATATATATATACTTATATATAGTTGGCAACGCTGTCCGGCTGGCCGGGCATTGATAACAGCGGACGACCCCAAATTTGGCACATGTGTTCGTGGAGCCCGCCCGCATAAAATTTCACATTTATCAATGCGTCGTATGCCGCTGTCTCTCTGTCAGTGTGTGTGTGTGTGTGTGTGTGTCAGTGTTTGTTATTCAAAGTTCAAAGCGAGTCTGTCTATTCGTCTGACTCCCGAAACGCTGCGCTTATCAATGCGGTACCGTGAACGTGTCTCAAAAAAAAACGAAAAAAAATATTAAAAATATTAACAAGAAGAAGCAGCAGCTTGTGGCGTTATCTGCGCTCTGGCTGTGTCTGGTGGCGGCACGTCTTGACTTTTCCACCAACTTAATGCGAATAAATCGAAATTTGAGTTGATAGTAAAATAAATTCAAAAAATACTGCGTAAATATTATCCTTTTCCGGCAACACTTGTGTTAACTATGAACGCCCATTGGCGTCTGTTTTGTATCGCAATACTGCAATTTTCAAGGTTAACCATTTTGCCCATTTTGCCGAGTCGCAATTTGTCAACATTTCATTAATATAATGAGCACAAATTGCTCCCAAACAATAAAGGATTTCAAGTTCATGTTCATATTCATGACAGTTCATAGCCCGCTATTGTATGCTACGAATGTACGGGACTTTGTGCAGCTGCTGCTGGCTTTCCTATATACCCTATACCCTATATACATGTGCGTGTGCGACTCGTTATCAAGATGCACCTGTGCCGATAAGGCGGCATTTTGTTGATTCTAATGAGGGAGCGTGTCGCAAGCCTGGATTTCATTCTTAATGCACGCAAGTGCATGCAATTGACAATCAAATCTACTTATGAGCATAACAATTTAAGGATTTGTTAATGATGTGAATGCGTTATTTAATCTTGAAAATAACTTGCTTAAACTTACTTTTTATTCAATAACTAACCAACCCTTCAGGATAACTAACGACCCCTTCAGAATGTGGTTATCCTCATATATTAAACTGTTCCGCTTAAAAGTATGCAGCACTTTTTTTTAAAACTCAAAATCCAATCCGTTATAAATTTTATAAAGAATTGTTACCTAATTATTGTTAAGTTTCCTTGTTGTTTTAAGTTAACTATTATAAAACAATTATTTTTTAAAAGGCAGTAGCCCTATGGCTACTTTTACATTTGACTGACTTGAGATGCTCCCATTGCAATGCGTTTCATCATTGCGTTAAAATTATATTAAAGAAGGCAATACAGTCAAAATTCTAGGCAAGAGAATATTTCGGGCTCAAAATATACAAATAGTAAAAGGGAACACAGTCGTAATTCCTAATTTAAAAACACCCAGGATGTAAAGTACAACATTTATAATTTTAAACAATTAGGGGATACCCTGAACCCTCTTCTTCCAACAGGCGATAGGTATAAAATAAAAGATACTTGATATATATATACTATTCTAGAAGCTACATGTCAAGTTTTGTGATATCGATATCGATTTTTATCGATTACTTGGAAACGGGGCAAGTTATCGAATATCGGAAATAAACTCGATCTGCGCGTGTACTACTAGGAAGACCTACAGCTAATTTCAACTCTCTGGCTCTTATAGGTTCTGAGATCCTTGCGATCATACATACGGACGGACGGACATGGCTAGATCGACTCGGCTATTGATGCTGATCAAGAATATATATACTTTATGGGGTCGGAGATGCTTCCTTCTGCCTGTTACATACATTTGCACAAATACATTATACCCTGTTTACCCATTTTTAATGGGTTCAGCGTATAAACATATCAAAGCTTATTTGAATGCAAGATTTGTACAACTTTCTACAAGCCGCTGTTTGTGTTTTTCAAATCTATTAAAAGAGAAAATATATGAACATTTTACACAGCCATTTTTATTGTTTAATTAGTTGGCAGCGCGCTGATGCACACTTTTATCGATAGCAGAACGTTTCTTAGATATCGATGAACGTACTTTGAACTAGTTCAATTACACGCAGGCTGGAATCAGTTCAGAGCTCAATTATACTTTCACGTGTTGCCGCTGTTCGCAGGTTTTATTGTTTTTATGCGAACTAAATGAAAGACTGAATAAAAGAATGCTGCGCAAATCGAAAAAACAAGCACCGACTGTGGCGGAGAAGGTGAGCAAACTGCTCGCCCATCCCAACGATAGCGACAGCGATAATGATTCCGATGTTGATGTGACCACCAAAGCGCGCGTTGTGGACTTTGAGGATGAAT